TAACAGTGTACAAACTTTATTGGGGTAACACCTATGAAAGATAAAAGGTAAAGAAAGAAAGAATAGGCAGGGAAACTGTTAAGATGCAGGTCTGATACCCATGACAAGAAAGTTGGGAGAAAAGGAGAATTGAGTAGAAAGAGCATCAGACTGGAGTGTATCTCTGAGACAGTCTTAGCCAGTCCAGTGGGGTCTGACACAAACCTCGCACATAGAGAAGTCCTGTGCGGGCTGGAGATAGTGAGTCCTTGTGTCCCAGATGTGCTATAAGGAATTGTGTGGCTTTGCCTTGAAAGCTGAGGCAGGTCCTCTCTAGAAGACATCTGAGCAGAGTACCACATGGATGCTACAGAGTTCTTTATCAGATATATGTATTGTATTTTTCTCCCACTATGTGACTTGCCTTTTCATTATCTTAGGGGCATTTTTACCTAATTAAGTACAATTTTTCTTTCTTTTTTTTTTTTTTTTGCATAATGTTCAAGAACTCTTTGCCTATCCCAAGGTATGTTTTCTTCTATAAGTTTTATTAGTTTACTTTCACATTTAGGTTTATATGGTGTGAAGTTGGGGTCAGATTTCATTATTTTCCATATAGATATCAAATTTTTTCCAGAAATAGTTCTTTAAAATAGACATCTTCTTCCCCCGCCCCCTTATTGCAGTGGAGACTGTTGTAAACAAGTGACTATATGTGTGTGGGCCTATTTCTGCAATCTCTAACTCAGCCCATCATTCCATTTGTATAACTTTGTACCAATACCACACAATCTCAATTTCTGTAGTTTTATAACATATTTGGATGTCTGGTAGTATAGATTCTTGGCTTTATTCTTCAATATTTCCAGGGCTATTTGAGAACATTTGCATTTTTATATATACTTAATAATCACTCCCTTATATTTCACCAATAATACACTGTGATTTCAATTGGAATTCATTAGATCAACAGATCAGTTTGGAAAAACCTGACAATTTAATAATATTAAATCTTTTGATACACAAGCATGGCATGTCTCTGGGAAGGAGCATTCTAGGAAAAGGCAGAGAGACAAAAAAAAGACCTGCTTTTATAGATACGAGGAGCTCTGAAGCAGTTCAGCAAGGGGTAAAGTGCAAAGTGTGGAGTGCAAGAGGAGGCTGAGGAAAGGTAGTGGCCAGATTTTGGGGAGTAGTTTGTAGTTCATGTGTAAGTGAACTGGGCGCAACTGATGGTTTTAAGGCATAAGAGTGGTATGGCCTGATAAGCATTCATAAAGATGACTCTAGAAGCAATAAGTCTTAATGGTTTTTAAAGGGGACAAACTATAGATAGGCACAATAGTTAGGAGCCCATTCCAGTAATTTAGATGAATTATAATGAAGAGTTAACCAAGGGCAGTGGATGTCAAATGAAGAAGAGGGCTGGGGTGTAGCTCAGAGGTAGAATGGGTACTTATTTGATTGGCAAGATCAACAGGATATGGTGATTGGATGTTGTGGGACAGTGAGAAAGAGAATCAAAGATGGATCTCAAGTTTCTAGCCTGTGTCTGGATATATAGTGGTACAGAGAAATTGAGAGTAATATTAAATGTGGGAGAGAAGTTTTTATGTAGGTTAAGTCTGGGATGCTTAGGATGTCCCACTAGAGGTGGCTAGCAGACAACTAGATATATAAGTCTGAAGTCCTGTGAAAGATCCAAGCTAAATATGACCCTGGGATCATTGATAAAATAATGTGAATAGATGGGCTCATCCAGGAGGCTTAACAGATATTATGAATCTTTCCTGAACACTCTCATACTTAAATTTTATTAGATTATCTTCTTTTTAAGGATAGTATGGCCCATTGATATCCTTTGGCTAAAACCATATCAGAAATACTGTTTACTAGTCAACATTTTTGTGTAGGCCACAAATTTCATATAGGCAATCAGTCTAGTTGGATAAACCTTCTAAATTCTCTACTCTCAGATCTTGTCTTCAGTTTCTCCTCTTCCTCAAACCTTCTATTCCCTCTTCATCATCTACTCTCAGGTGGACTTTACTTCACTAAAAGCATTACAAAATGACAACTGATCACCTCATCTCTACCATCAAATCCACCAGGCTTGCTCCATCTACTCTGCCTTCCTTCTTGTTATTATTGAGATATCCCTATTCCAGTCTATGACCAACCCCACTGCTCTGGAGTCCTACCTTTCTCCCTTCTTCATTTGTATACTTACTCCCTTCTCTCCATTATCAATTTCTCCTTCACCACAGAGTTAGATATGTTAGATATGCCTTACTATCACCCCTCTAAAAATAAAAATTTTACGCAAGAAATTGCTAGTGTTCACTGATATCCATTTTTGTCTTTTTCTTGGTCGCACAGCTAAATCACATTTCTCAAATTATATTTCTCAGCCCCCCTTTGGAGGTCCTGTGAAAAACAGTCTGTGTTCAGAGGAATGTATTCCACCTTTAGGCCTGGTTCATACAAATCTCTTATTAGTGATGTACTCTTTCCCTTTGCAAGGCAGCTTGAAAGATGCTGGGGTCCCTGAGTCACTCCTGGAAGAAAACCATCCAGCTCACACTGGACTGTGAATCTATGTTAACCTGTTGCGATTGAGGTTCTTAGTGACAGCCCTTAGCATAATACAAATCCACATCCTCCTCCAGCTTTTGCCCCATTTCTTGTTTCCTTTAACACTCTTGAAAAAGTTGTTTATACTCATCATTTCCATCCATTTTTTTTTCTCTCAACCTGCTCCAATTCAGCTTTCATCTTCTCCCTTATACTGATGTGGTTCTTATCAAGGTCACTAATGACTTCCATTTTGCCAAATTCAAGGTCATGTTTTATACTCATCTTTTTCAATTTCATCTGAAAGTTCTCTCACCAAAATCTCACTGTATCTGACCCCCTTTTATCTTCTCTTCACGAAAACACTAGTCCAAACCTTTACTTCTCTGTCAGCAGCTTCCTAGCTGCTCTGTCTTTACTCCTGCCTTTAGTGAGCACATACTAACAGTTTAACACATCAGCCAGAATAAACATATTGTACCCATACATCAATTACTCACTTAAAAATTTCCGACAGGGTTCCAATGTGCAACTGAAATAAAATTCAATCCTGTGTACCATGCCCTGTAAGGCCCTTCATGATCTGGCCCCTACTTCCCTTTTCCATTTCATTCAGACTACTGTAGCCCTACTGCCTTCTTCCAGTCCCTCAGAAAGAGTGGTGCTTATTGTTTCCCTCCATTGGCATGTTCTTTGCCTGCATCTTCCTGTGGAGGCCTCTTTCTTACTGCTTGGATCTCAGCTCAAATGTCACCTCTAAAGTGCATCTATCTTCTTGACTTCTTACCCCCACCTCCTTATTTTCTTTATAGTAATAAAGTAACAAAATATTTTAATAATAGTATTTAAAATGGTCTTATTTGCTAATATACTTTATGTCTTTCATGTAGGACACAGCTACAGGAAGGCCATTTTTTTATCATGTTCATCTAATGTATACATCCACAACCTAGAAGGGCATCTGGCAAAGTAGATATTTGTTGAAGAAACACATCAAAGACTATAAGCCCTCAAGGAAAAATAACATGTGCCATTCTTCTCTATATAAACTGCAATGACCAGCTATTAGCTATAGAATAATAAACATTTTTTCCCAGTCTAAACCTTAAAAAAATCTCTAGGAGTTTTAAGCCTTGGCTCTTGGCTCCAAGATGTAACTTCCTATTTTATTTCTCTTGGATAAAGACAATCAACATTATTTTAACGGATTATTATTAAGGTTTGAGGTTTTCTATTTTTTTTTTTTTTGGTCTTTGCCATCTCTTTAGTGGATCAACTATGATGTGCACCACAATATGATTTAATTACCCAATTATAGAACTGTTACCTTTTCTGTACATTGTACATTTTTGTGGAGAGCTATTTGGGGAATGGCAAGGTTTTATTTCTAATGATTTCTTCCAGGGAGTCCTCCGGTTTGGGCCACTCATAAAGCAGGTTAATATTCCCCATTCCTTTCCTCTCCAAATAGTTATTTTTGGCACCACGGGACCAGAGAAAAGGCGTGGAGACTTGGAATCAGATAACTTTGGGTTTAAACTGTTTTCCCTTTAACCAGCGTTCTGAAGTACTTAATTTCTCCAAATCCTTATTAACTCGTTTACAAAATGAAGATATCAACACATACTAGACAAGGCAACAGGTGTTTATTAGCAAATGAAAAAAATAAAGTTATAATGGATCCTTTAATGCACTAAATGCTCGTTTCAGCGTCCCCTTCCTCATGGGTATCTGTCAAATCTCAAGATATAGTGTCCACTCACTGCGTAACGAGGAACTCGCAGTGCAGACCTTTTGAGTTTAAAAGGTTTTAGTACATAAAATACGTAGTTAACCAAGCCCTCAAAATGTAGATATAAAGAAGGAAAATCAGACTGCGGGGGTCCCCTATGCAAATACACGAATTACAAACGAACCTCGCCGACGGCCGCTTCCGCACTTCCCCTCGAGGGCACGCCGGGACGCCCGCGCTCCAACGCGCCCCGGCGCGGGGGTGGAGATTTGCATGTGCGAAATCGGGAAGAGGGGGAACTACCTATCGAAAACCCCGGGCCGTTCTCCACACCCCACCCCCCCCAGCCAGGAGGCCGCCCGGCCCGCCTCCAGGTGCTCCCGGGCGACCGACCCTCTCGACGTCACCTCACCCTCCCACCAGCTCCTGAACTTTAAACCACACTCCGAAGGACAACCCGGAGGAGGGGGATTTCTCGGGAGCCGGCGGCCTTCTCACGCTCAGAGCCGTCACCTCCGAGCTGCCGGAGCTCTTTACCGTCCCCACACTCCCGCAGACCCCGCGCTGCAGCATCTGCACCCGGACCCAATCACGCAGCAATTCTAGGGCGCGCGCGCGGGGGCGGGGAGCGCGCGGGGGCGGGGCCGGGACCGGGGCGGGTCGCGGGCTGCTCAGTGCGGGTGCGCGCGCCAGCCTCGAGAACGCTCCGCCCCCCGCCCCCGGGAAAGGCGATGGGGAGCGCTACGTCAGCCGCGGGAAATTCCCCTCCCTCCGGGCTGCCAGCTTCTTGGCCGGGCTAGCGCTCGGCTCTCGTCCCGCTCCGCCCCCTGCTCCTGTCTCCCGCTCGCTGGACGGGCGACAGTGGTGACCCTGAGCGCGAGAATTCAGGGGGTGGGAAGGTGTGAGCCGCAAGCCAAGGGGAGGGCGGGAAAGAGGAGGAGGCCCGGGGGTGGTCAGGGGGACTGGGGTCCCGACGGCAAAGGTCCCGCGGCCTCCTGACTTGACTGGCGGCTGTCTGGCTGACGGCCTCGGGCCCCGACGTTTGGAGCTGCCGGCCCGACTGCGCGGAGAGCGGAGCCATGGCCTCCGGTGAGTGCGCCCATCGCGGCTGGACGGGGAAGGAGCTCTTCTGCGGGGTGGTGCTGCCCTGGGATTCGGGATCTGTTTTGATGGCACATTCTGGCTTTGAAATCGCCTCACCTGGCAAATTGTCAGAAAAAGTTACCTGCTTGAAGGTTTGCGTGCGAAATCAAAGCCGCGCTGTGTAATCTGATGCTCTTGTAATAGCCGGAACTTTAGAAATTCCCAACAACTTGATTTGGGGATTAGGGAAGTAATTAAATAAGGGAGGACGAAGAGTTCTTGTATTTAAAGGTTGAATTGTATTGAAATGGTGGTTTTGTATTTTTGGACGAGAATGAGGAAGCTTCAGACCTCGGGCGAACTCTCTCCCTGTTTAGATTAATTTCATCAAGTTCCAAGTTCTTGTGCTGACAGTTGTGTAAAATGTGGCGCTGCCGTAAAGTTTCTTAGTGTTATTTTAACAGGTATTAAGTGGAAACGAAGTGGATGACTTTTACTGGGAACTCAAGCGCAGACTTTTCTAACTTACCGAGTAGAGACGTCGAGTTCCAAGTCCCCCTCTTGTTAGCAGCAACGGGGAAAGGATTTTGAAACTATTTGTGCTTTAAAATAATGGCTAGGCATGAAAACAACGGAATCCCCTAATGTAAATATTTCTTTTCGTCTATAAATGGTTGGATTTGTTGCTTTGCAGGGAAACAAGTTAAGAAACAGCTTGCAGGGAAAGGGCGGAAGAGTTGTATAGATAGCCATGATGTAGGGCTGCCTGTAACTCAAAGCGGGTAAGTCAAGTAGTCTAGGTTGGATCATTACCGGGATTTTGGCGGGGTGAGGGTGGGGGTGCTGCAGTTGCACTGCCCCAGCACCGGGTGCAGAGCAAGCAAAAGCCGGAAGCCTAAAATGACACCTTAAGGCTGTAGTAGGAGGCTGAATGAAGAAGGGTCTTGTTTATTCTTGACCCGCATGCTTCCTACTGCCTCCTGTAGTGACCCTCGGTAGAAAGCTGATGTCTGGTAGAGAAGAGGAAGTAGAAAGCAAAAAGAACCTCTTTAAAGGGTTGAGCAGAACAATACCATAGCTACTGCTGTAAGCTGAAAAGGAAATTGGGGTGTTTCACATGACATTTGATTTCAGTTTGTCTGTGGTTTTCGTGTGAGAAGACAAGTGTAGTTTAAAATATTTCAACTTTCCCTTTACTCACTTAAATGACCCCAGACTTTCAGAGAATCTTGAAAATATCAATTCAATAGATGTTTAGATTAAAAGTACAAGGATGACATCAAATGTTTAGTTTATTGGTTATCAGGAAGAGATGTTGTATGAAAGAACTAATGAATGGTGAGCATTTTAAGTAAAAAAAAAGTCCACTGTTGGCTATTTGACCAGACTAATCTTTCATATATGTAATACTTAAAACTTTTCTAAAATAGAAAAAAAAAAACAATCGTTTCTACATAGAGTATTGTAAGACCTACCTGATTTTAAAATGTGATGCAACTTAAACTTGTTTAATGACAGTATATTTTTGTTATGAGGACTGAGTCTCTAAATTGAAAGGGAAGTGTAAAGAAACTGAAAGTTCAAAGATTTGGAAGTTGTAGGGTGGTTATCTTTTTTGGTCTTTTCTAAAAAGTTGCATTAAATGGAACTATTTAAAATACAACAAGTTATTTAAATTGTAATTCAGTTATTTGCAACTACTAGGTAAAAAAAAAAACAAAAAAAATGTTTAAAGAAGTCAGGTTATACTTTTTTTTAATCAGATGTAAAGACCTTAAAGAGAGAAAAAGATTCATTAAATTATAAATTCCCATTCTGATTTGGAACTAATTTAGCTGAAAGAGTGACAGGAAAAAATTTGTTTAATGAGTTTATTATTTACTTTAGATTCTGTTTGTAGTAAGATAGTATTAAAAACCTCAAAAAGTACTTTTATTGATTACCAAGCATTTAAGACTATTTCTTCATTTCTCACCAGATGTTATATGTAAATAGGTATGTGTAGTTGAAGAGATGATCCCTATAATGTAAAAGTAACATAAGAGCATAATCATCATCAAAATTATATAAATTATATAAATGCTATGAGTAGCTGGTATTTTATATAATGATTCTAAATGTTGTAATATAAATTGACAGATTAGTTATTTAGGGTTTCATAACTTGGTCATTGTTTTTCATTGCCTCCCCCCTTTAAACAATACTCTTGATTCTAATTTCTTGACACAATTAATTAGAATAGGCAAAGTGAAAAAAATGTGTTCCCAAACCTATCAAAGCTGCATAGTTAAGTAGACATTACCTTTGTATATTTATAATTCTATTCTATTTAATGTAAGTATTTTATGTCTAAATTGGAAACTTTTCAGTAAAAAAAGCAAAATGTTCTTGTGTGGTATGTGACTATGTTTACTAATAATTAGTACTCTCTTTGGTTAAGTTATCTTAAAATTTAGATAATTTCTTTTTATGCACATTTTTCTGTAGTATGACTCTGCTATGTAACAGAATAGAAAGTACACAAAAAATTGTTTTTGTGAACCACAATACTTAACCACCTCTTTGTAGTATGAATTTCAAGAGAACTATTTTTCTCTTGAGTAAGGAGAAAAAAATGGATGTAAGTATATGGCAACTTACTCTTTAATAATAGAACTGGAAGTTAGGATGGATAGCTAAAGCAAATGACTTTTTTAAGTAAAAGATTGCACACAAACATGAATGTTCTTGAAAAAGAGATAACAGTGGTATAAAAATTGACGTGATATATAATAAACATAAGGAGAATGAGTGAATGAAATGAATCATAAGTAGCAACATCTAGGGGTATGTCCTATTGTTCTTTAATATAACAAGTCACTCAAATTTCTTTTGTTCCAACTCCTTCCCATTTGTGTTCTCTGTACATGATTGCGTTTGTAGGCACATGACCCAAATATTATATAGGATAGATTTACACTAAAAAAATTATTTGTTTACTTGAAATTCATATTTAACTCGCCCTCCTGTATTTTTAAGTCTAGAAATCTTAACAGATGATTTGGCCCTGCCATGTATGTTTTTTTTTTTTAAATTTAAATACCTGTATAATCTGGGACAGATTTTAAACGTTTCTCTACTTTTTCACCCGGTAGGTCAAAAGTTTTTCTCCCACCTCTATAGCAGTGGAATCTCTATTGCCAAAATCTATAATATCCTTTTTACCTTGTGGTGCATACATCAGTTGACTACTCATTTGAAAATTCCATTACCTGGATTCTTAAGGCCAATTCAAAGTCAATCTGTTGTATTGCAGTAAACTTTGATAGATCTTTTGGAGGAAAAAAGAATAGATCCTATTTTCTTTTCTTCCACCACGAGTAGAGGTGATATTTGGAAAAGTATGTATTCTTAGCCCCTTTTGCTCCTTTGGGTCCCAGGCAAAATGTCATCTAGGAGCTCTATGAGAGAGAGAGGCACTCTAGTCAGCTTTCTTAACTGTGGTGTTTTGACACATTGGCATTTCAAATATTTGTGTATTGTACTGCAAGAAGTATGTTAGAATATTTATTTTGTAAATGGTTTATTTTTAAAACAAATTAGAGCAGTTGAAGGCTATCCCTTTGTCTTTTTCTCTTGCTTACATTTTGAATAATCTGTTTTGATCAGGAGAGAAAAAGGAGTTACAACTAGTCAGAATTGCTCTGCCTTATTTATCCAGGAAGCAGACCTGAATTTGGGATTGCTGCTTCAGATATGTGCATCATTGTTTCTACTTCTTCAAGTTTTAGGGCTGTGGTTCTTGAATTAGGAATGTGTTAAACTGGCTTGAAAGGCTCTTTCAGAAACAGCTTTACCCTTGAAGAGTACTTCCTGTTGGGCTCTGAGATGGGGTCAGGGCATGTCCAATGTTTTGGAAAAGCTACTTAGGTGTTTCTGATGTACATCTCCAGTACAAACTTTGTTCTAAAGATTTTATTGACTCTTACACTTGCTTATACAAAGATGAATTATTTTATTAAACTACTTGCTTATACCAAGATGAATTATTTTATTAAACTAGAATATATTTATTTTAGATTGCAGGTATTTTTTTTAAAATGTGCTGAATCAGTTATTGTAATTTTACCCCTAGCTGCTTTTTATGTTTGTTGTTTCTTAAGTTTGGTATCCTGGAATCTGAGCTGTCACTGTAGCTAATGTCATTCATAATTTTTTTTCTCATTACTTTATTTAATTTTAAATTTTATAGTTTTATCACCCGTAAAATGGGATAAGTTCTTTCTTTATGAAGATTAAAGTTAGGATCAAATATATACAAAGTGCTTTAAAATTATATTAAATGTAATTAATATTTTTCACTGTATACTTAATACTGATTCCTAATGCTAGCAATAAGATTTTAATGAATATGGAACTGGTTATGTAGCTTGGTGGTAGAGCTCTTGCCTTGCATGTGCAAGGCCCTAGATTCAATCCCCAACACCACTGGGGGAAAAAAAAAAAGATTTTAGTGAATGTGTGTATTTCTGACAATTGGTAATCTATTTTTATCTTTTACTTCAATGTAATTTCTTTTTTTAATCAAAAACTAATACTTTATTGTGTGATTTTTATATAGCACTCTTTTTTTCCTTAGTGCAAATAAATCATAAATATACATTGCAAAAATTTGGGCTATATTTCAGATGTTCTGGTCTGCATTAGCATTTTACAATACTGTTCAAAACATAGGGACAATCCTAGTTTTACGCAGTATTGGTTAAAGAAAAATACAGTAATCAAATTGTTTAGAACTCATTTTGAAGACATTTCAGTGCTTTTCAAAACTGTAGTGACATTCAGTAATCTTAGTTAAGACTACTCATTTTTCCCTACAATTCCCTGATTTATATTTTACCTTCTTCTACTCCATATGTGACTACATTTCAGCACTTTTTATCTGTGGGAAGAGTGGCATTTGCAAAACCGTCCTGAGGAAGGAAATAACTGTTGCATTGTACTGATATATAATATAAATTATTTATAGCTAGGAAGTTTTAAAAATCACAGCCACAGATAAATAAATCAGCATATGAATGGGTGTGAGGAAGTAGGAAGGTATGGCAATTCTAGTACCTACAAAGCACTGCTTTTTTCATCATAGCAGAATATAATGAAGAAGATCTATTAATCATTAATGTAGTCCTTTCATGTTTGAGTAACTTGCACAAACAAAATATCTTCAGATTTTAAATCATTCACCCAATAGATATTTACTTAATATTTGTATATAAGGCACTTATGAATAATGTAATTTCTGCCTTCAAGTATCTAAAAGAAATAAAGCAGGTAGCTTTATTTCAAGAACAAATAAAATGAATCCTCCCTGAATTAAAGTTATTTGGAATAATTATTATAAACAAAAGTACTATTTTTATTTACAGGAAGAGGAAATTATTTTCAGCTGGGGAGGTATAGAATATTACAAAAAATTTGGTTACTTGGTTGTTAGTGAAACTTTTTACCAATTAAGAACTTCCGTAATAGAAAAAGTAAACTTCAAGAACTTTTCAGTACACAATATTATATGATAACTAATATTTATGTCATTTTCAGCATTTAAAAAAACTTTTAAAAAGTATTCTATTTAATCTTTTCAACAATTGCTTTTCTGTTCTTTTGTCTATAGACTTACTTCATTAACACACTAGATAGTTTTTTAAAATGTCAATAAATCACTGCTCACTTTGCTCACAATGAGCCTAGAATTTTTATTTATACTCCTCCTCCTCCAAAGAAGCTAACAGTTTACTATCAATGATGTAATTCTGTATCAGTTTCCCACCAAGACACCTTAAAGTAGTGTGCAGGGATTTATTTGACCTTTTGTTCAACCACATAAATTATTTAAGATGTCACTGAAAAATACTGTTGATTTTAACTATTGAGAGGGAAATGTACTTCTTTTAGATATACCTACAAGAATGTATAAAGATAGGAAATATTCAAAATTGTAATGTGATTTTGAAATATACAACGACATAAATTGTGGAAATATTCAAAATTGTAATGTGATTTTGAAATATACAACGACATAAATTGTGAAATACTCATTTGTATGCTTGCCTTGTGGTTTTTCAGTAAAATTGAAAAAAAGAGTTATGAACTTGATTGAGTTAGTTTTTCCTGGCCCTTTGTGTTTTGAATAAACAAATAGGTAGTAGCTTCAATACAAGAAGTCTGATTTAAGCTGAATAAAATTGAAGATAACAGTAGCAATTTATTCAGTGACCCAAAGTAGAAATGTGGTGTCATCAATACTTCTTTTAATTTTTCTTTTGATGCCTAATGCCTAGGCACCCCAAATACTGGCAGTTTTATCTTTTAAATGAACCTGGATTCCTATTATCACTGCCTTATTTTAGACACATGCTCATCATTGCCCACCTGACAGTAGTCTCCACTTATCCACAGTTTTGGTGTTGATAATTCAGTTACTTGTGGTCAGCCATAGTCCAAAAATAATAAGTGAAAATTTCCAGAAATAAGTAATAAGTTTTCAATAACTATTGTTAGAATATATCGTTCTATTTTTTTATTGTTGTTAATCTCTTATTGTGCCTAATTTATAAATTAAACTTTAGCATATATAGGTATGTATGTATAGGACAAACATGGTATATATAAAGTTCAGCACTGTCTGTAAAGTTTCAGGAACCCACTGGGGGGTCTTGGAACATATCCCCCATGGATAAGGGGGGAACTGTTGTATTTTAATGGACTCTAAATTGATCACCTTGCTTTTTACTTTCAATATGTCCAGTACCACCAGAGTTCTTATTCTCGAATGCTATTCTGATCTTATGATTTCCCTGCATAAAAATAATGATTCCTCATAACACATAAAATGAAATCTGTATTACTTTGTGTGCTCTGAGTTTTGGTTCTCTAAGAGTAGAAACATACTCTACTTCCATTGGTGATACCTAAATAAACTCTTCTATGGACACACTCTTCTTCCTTCTCCCTAGAATGCTTACCTTTTTTCTTTCCTCCTCTTTTCACCATGTCATATGTATAACAGTAAGAATTTTAACACATGTGATGTCTGATCCTCACACCAACACTATGAGGTAGTGCTGTTATGATTATCATTCCCATTTTACAGAGGAGACTAAGAGATTTTAATAACATTTCCAGGGACTTACTGTTAAAAAATGGCTAGGTGGGATTCAAAAGGCCTCTTCTTATACTTACCTAATAAGACCCACTGTTTTATCTTTTCTGAAATTGCTTGCATTCTAACAGGATAACCTCAGTGAAATGGATTTATAATTGTGGGAATTTAGAAATCACTAAATGGATTGGGGGAGAGTCTTTTTTTTTTTTTTTTTCTTTTTTGAATGGAAGATGTCTTCATACCCCTGAAATGAAAACACATTGTTAATTACCCCTTTTAAGCACAATTGAGTATCTTTATTGAACTTTTATTTCCATGATTTGGATAATAAGAAAGGGTAAAGATACATATGTTTTAAACAGCCTTATTAATGTATAATTAATGTATAACAAATTACACATTCTTAAAGTACACAATTTGGTAAGTTTTGACCTATGTGTACAACCTAAATCATCACCACAATCAAAATATTTAACATGTCCATCATCCCCTAAACTTTATCCCATTTTAGGCAACTAGTGATCTGCTTTCTTTCATTATAGTTTACTTAGTCTAGAGTTAGCTCTAAATGGACTTATACCATATGTGCTCTTTTGGTCTGGCTTTGTTCACTCAGCATAATTATTTTAAGAGTCATTCATTAAGTATGTGTATCAGTAGCTTATCCTACAGGTGCAATTTTGAATAATATTGCTATATAAAACAAATAGTTGCGGTTTCTTTTCCTCCATAGTGTCTTATATTGTAGAAAAAGTTTAGATGGGACTGCTTGAAAATTCTTTTGAGCCTGAAGTCTCTTCTGGGGCTTGTTTTAGTATACAATGTACAACATTGTATAACATTCCAAACTTATGCTTTTGCAAGAGTTTAAATTATTTTCATTTTTAGGGAATGATCTTTTCACCTACTTCCAAGAATCCAGTGTTAAGCCAAACAGTTAAATATGTTTACTCTCTTGGGAAGTATAATGTACTGCTGAATACTATCTTCTTCATCATTCTGGGGCATCTTGGGGAAAACCCTTCTGCTTGATCTCATGTGGAAAGTGAATATTTATGAAGTGGTTATTTTAGAACTTGATATTGGCATTAGCTGTGGATATTAAGCAATAAAGCATTAATTAATCAGTTGATTTGTATGACTTGTGTTAATACTATGAGCTCAATTTGAATGGGAACAAAAGATGTGTCTTCCAATCAATCTTGGATAATTACATTACAACCTTGTTAATGTTGGGAGGGAGAATCTTTGTTTTAGTCTGTTGTTTAAAAAAAAAAAAACCCAAATTGTTAGAAATCTATTATGATCCTATTGTAATCTCACTGAACCCTTCCCTTTTAAAATTTTCAGGTGGGTATAACCCATATATAAAGATAATTGAACAACCCAGGCAGAGGGGAATGCGTTTTAGGTACAAATGTGAAGGGCGATCAGCTGGCAGCATTCCAGGAGAGCACAGCACTGAGAACAATCGAACATTCCCATCTATCCAGGTAATAGATCCTTCTGTGTCTTTCTCACTTTTGGTTGATTGATATTTTAGCTATTGCAGTTATATTAAAGGCTCATTTTCTTTAATTACCTCCATAGTCTTTTTCCTTTATTCCCTTTTTTCTTTTAAATTAATCTGTATTAGATGGTAGAGACATTTCTTAATTATAATACAGTCTTCCCTGATGTAGATAATTACAATTATTTGTATATTAATCTATGTAGAGAGAATCACAGTGCTAAGTGTACATTGGCAGCTTTTGGATTATGATCCCTTTCATGGAACACAAAGCATTTAATGAGGAAAAAGTATTATGTTCATGTAGAGGTGAGGAAAATTACTGTGTAGATGAAACATGATTTTGAGAACTGAATCAGAATTCTTCCTGTAATGTCTTAGTCTAGGGCTTATCAAAAAGGAGAAGAACATTTTTTTTCCTTTTTCCTGATCTTTATTGCCTGCATCTGATACTCTGCATCATTGGCATCATTTAAAATAGTATAATTTTTAAAATATGGCTTTTTTCATATTAGCATAAGTTTCAAAAGTAGTTTTTAATTGACAATGACTTTGATAAATATACCAGTTTATTTTTATTTTTATTTTTTAGTTGCAGATGTACAAATTTATTTATTTATTTAATTTTTTAAAAGATTTTTACCATTCACTATTTAATACTGTCCAAAGTATTAAAAGCAAAATCATTCTTTAAAAAATAGAAAATCAATAATAATGAATTTGACACAGAGAAGAAAATAATTCTGAAAACTCAGCCCAGTTTCTTATCAGAATACAAATTCCTAAATTCCAATTCCAGCAAGTATCATAAAATAGCTTAAAAATTCTAATGTGGGAAACAATCACCTCTTTGCCATAAAATACAGCTGCAGAAATGATTCTACAGTTCTTCTCATTTAAGACATAATGGGTGGGAAAGAATAAGAGACATGGAACATGGAACAGAGTTCAGCTTTTGCAGCTCATAAAGGACAATTTTGATTCAACCTCCCACAGCTTCGTTTGCAATGCTTTCAAGACATCTTCCATCTGTTTTAGAGACTTTTCTATTTCAACTCGGCTTTATTTTTATGTGGTGTCGAGGATCGAACTCAGTGCCTCACATGTGCTAGGCAAGCGATCTACCACTGAGCCACAACCCCAGCCCCTGTACCAGTTTATTTTTGTAAATTATATTTCACTTACCTTTTAATTTTTTATCCTTTAAATGCCAATTTAAAAGCTTAATAGCAAGCTGGGCATAGTAGCACATGCTGTAGTCTCAGCTACTTGGGATACTGAGACAGGAGGATCACTTGAATCCTGAAGTTCAAGACCAGTCTGAGCAAATTAGCAGGATCTCATCTCAAAAAACAAAACAACAAAAACCTAATAGCAAATTGAATTTTGAAAAGTGGTATTTAATTTTTTTATCAACAGATCTTTATTCACTATTTTGGGGGAGGGGAGTACCAAGGATTGAATTCAGGGGCACTCAACCACTGAGCCACATCCCCAGCCCTATTTTGTATTCTATTTAGAGACAAGGTTTCACTGCGTAGCTTAGCACCTAGCTTTTGCTGAGTCTGGCTTTGAATTCGCAATTCTTCTGCCTCAGCCTCCTGAGCTGCTAGGATATCAGGCATACACCACTGTGCCCAGCTTAATTCACTATTTTATAACTGCTCTACTTACAGAGTTTATTCTGTTGAATTTAAAGAGAATTGTTAAATTATAGAATAAGGTAATGCCAACATTTTGTATTGAATTCCAAATTCCTATTTTCATTTATTTAACTAATACATAAAAACATAAAAATTATATATATGAATGGCATACCATGTAATGTTTGATATATGTATGCACTATATAAACTTTAAATAATGTTAAACATACTTATCTCCTCAAACATTTACCATGTCTATATGGTGAAATATTCAAACTCCTTTCTTCTAGCTTTTTTTTTTCTTGGTATGTGCTGATGATTGAACTCAGGGCCTTGTGCATGCAAGGCAAGCACTCTACTAACTGCTGAGCTGTATCCCTAGCCCTTTTCTAGCTTTTAAAATATACAGTACGTTATTGTTATATCTAATCACTATACTGTGCAATATTATACCAGAGCTTCTTGCTCCCATCTAACTGTAGCAACTTTCTAATTTTAAGTCACATTTTTGGTACAGTATGGATTTGGTTTATCCAAATCCTTTTATTTAAATGTTAAAGGTAAAACATAATAAGTAAATTTTAAAAATTCTATTTTCCAATCCTTTGAGTTAATTTTTTCTTCTCCATAATTCTATTTATTCATTATGTCTCTAAAATATTTCTATGATCTGTATCCTTACCATTCCAGAAGGTCCTAAACGCTTTCCAGCTTGAGTTCTATCTACTGTAAGCCTGTCCTAGAGTCTTGAGTGGTTACCTCTCTTCCACCCAGAAAGGCAACATATACTTCATGGTTACTGTTTAAATTATGTTTAAATTCAGATTTATGGATTTTAGTGCCCTCTACCTGGTACGCCACTCAGTCTACTTAACTACCTTACTCCCTTAGGGTATGCTGTTTTTTTTATCCCCTGCTCATTCGTGCAAATTTGCTAGCTTTGAAAGTAAACATTAGTTTCTCTCCATCTCATAGTGTCCTCCTGCCTCTCCCATGCTTACTCTCCTTTGTACTGGGAATGTTCCAGATTTGAGTGAAATTTCATATTATTAAACTCAGCTAGATTTACTGCTTATTACACCGGGAACACTTGAGATTTGTTTATATTATTTAATATAACTGATTAACGGTTACTTTGTGAAATTAAATCTTGCATGTTAAGTAAAATTATATTTATGTGCTATTATTTTGAGTGTGGTTTAACTATATATTTTCAAGGGATATTTATGGTATGATAGTACATCTAAGATAAAGGATTTAGTGTTCTAACATTTTAGTTCTTTCTCATGCTCTGTGATAAAAATTAAAGTGTAATATTACTTGTTTTAAAAGGAAATAAATAATCAGATGATATGATCAGTTGAAATTAGGGCAGAAAATAATATGTCCAGCAGCTGAGAGGTAAGTTCTTTCCTACTGGTATTCTCTGGAAAGTTTCATCTCTACTGCAGTTTCTGGTCAGTTGAACTTTATTTATTTAGAGCTAATTACATTATATAAATTGAACTGTCAATTTAGTAAATCAGTTCTTAATAAAATATATTTATGAATCATATATTTAATCCCCCCTTTTTCCAGATTATGAACTACTATGGAAAAGGAAAAGTAAGAATTACATTAGTTACAAAAAATGACCCCTATAAACCTCATCCTCATGATTTAGTTGGAAAAGACTGCAGAGATGGCTACTATGAAGCAGAATTTGGTCAAGAACGCAGGCCTTTATTGTAAGTACATAGTCACAAACATCTTTTTTTAATATATATATTTTTGTAATTGTAGATGGACAGAATGCCTTTATTTTAAAACAGAGTGGCAGGATCAAACCTAGTACCTATGCATGCTAGGCAAGCGCTCTGCCACTGAGCTACAGCCCCAGCCAATAGTCAAAAACATCTTTAGGAATAGGACAAGTATAGGATGTTCTATTTCCTGTCCATGATCATCTGTTACTTTTTAGCAGAATAAATTAATTTGTCATACTATTTACTATGTGTATACTTAAATTTTCTTACTATTTGCGTTAGAACTACATTTTCATTCTTCATTAGAACACACAGCACATCACATGATGGTTAGCATGAATATTTCTTTTAATCAGTAAAGGTAAAAACAAACTTTATGTTGTGATTTTCTTTCTCAGTTTGAACAATTCCTGAAATTTTTATTCTATTTTTTCATGTAGTTAACTTTTTAAAAAATGCCACATATGAGAAAATAAGTTGGAAAACTAGAATTTATTAAGAAAGTGGCAGATTACAAAATTAACATACAACAAAAGTTCTAAGATAAAAAAATTATGTAATAAGTTCATATGTTGGTGAGGCTACCAGAAGATGAGCCTGTTTAGTTAGTATAAGTTAATGAAAGCTTTCTGATAGGCAATTTAACAGCTACATAGCAAAAGCCTAAAAACTATGAAAGCACCTTGAGCCAGCAATTCTACTTCTAGGAATTTATTCCCAGGAAACTATTAAGCATTTTCAGACATTTAATGATGTTTACTGTAACTTTGTAATGGCAAAAAGTTATAAACAAGAAAGGATACAAGTTAAATAAAGTGGTACATTCACTTAGTGTACTTCTGAATAGTCATAAAACTAACATTGCAAATATGTCTGTTGATAAATAAAGAGATTCATAATAAGCTAGATAAATAAAATAGATTTTAAAACAAGGTATGTTTTAAAACAAGATATGAAGAATAATCTTATTTTTGTTTAAAAAGTTTATACATATACATGGTAGTATATATGCTAAGGTATTAATAGTGGTTGTTTTGGGATGGGTAGAATTGTAAGGTTTCTTTTTTCCTAACTTGTTCATTTTTGTAATGAGCATGTATTGCTCTTGGGGAAAAATGAAACTAATGACAACAGAAATATTAGTAGTTTCCTTATATATTGATAATAACTATTCAGAAAATGCGTCCTCTTATTAATAATAACAACACAAAACACAAAATGTTTGGTAATATACACTTTGCAAGAAATAAATCCTGTCTGTATTATTTGACTTTCCCAATAGCATTTTGAACCTGACCTCTCCTGTCTGGAAATATTCTCTTTTCTTAATTTCTATGAGAACAAACGTATTTTACTTCCTTCTTTTCTGGCCATTCCTTCTTTCTTATTGTAGCAGTTAAATTTTTGGATTACTTCATTTATCCCAGGAATGACCTTTGTGGTTGCCCAGTCTTTATCCCCAATCCAGGATCCCATTAAGGATTACTCATTATATTTAGGATTATATTTAACATGAGAAACATAACATGTTTCATGAAACACTGGGCAAGAAATCTACAGAGGTGATCCCTTCAGGACACATGTGATCTCAGTTTTTTCTTTTTATTCTTGGTGATATTAATTGGCATTCTATTGTAAAGAAAGGATCTTTCCTTCTTTCCCTTCCCCATTTAAAAAGTGTCACTGTCAACTTATATTCTTATAACAATGGTATTATAGACCATTAGTGGCATTATTTTGATTTTCAAATTGACCCAGATTTGATCAAAACAAACCCCTTCATACTGTCTCCTATATCCTTTCAGTATGTCCCCATGTTTCTTCATACACTTCTTCACTTTCTGATACAACAATGTGTTCAAGACTTGAACTTTTCTTGATTCAGACCTTATATCATCATTTTTTTTCCCAAGGATCCCTAGTTCTTTTCACTAGGGAATGGTATTTAGTCTGATTGCTCTTAATGTTCTTTTAAATGTCTCAAAAAAACCCCAATAGAATATGCCCCAAACCATGATCTTAACCATGATCACAGCTCTTTTCCCTCAAAATTGTTCTCCTTTCACTGTACCTTGTCTTAGTGGTTTCTATAAAACCCCCATAGACCCCTCACATGTGTGTGAATCATTAAGATACCTCCTAAATAGCTCTTGAATCTATCCATGTCATCTAGTGAACTCCCATGAACTACCTCAACAGTTTTAAATTGGAGTTGCTGGGATAGCCTTAACCCTGGTGGTCTTGCATCAACTCTTTTTTTGATCTCCTCCCCTTAGTTTTCCTTCACTTTAGCCAGAGATATCTTTTAAAATACAAATTGAATATTTCCCTGCTTAAGACATTTTAATGGCTTTCTGTGGCTCTTGGAATAGGGACAGCATTCCTTCTGTGGCCTACCAGCCCCCATAGTCCACTTGTTCTAGCCTTCTGTTGGATTGTGCTTCCTCTGCCTTATCTCTATGCTTTCATCACAAAAGCCTTCCTTTGGTTTCCTCTGCTCACAAGGTTCTTCTGTAGGGGCCATTGCATGGAAGTCTCTTTCCTCTCCTCTTCCCTTAGTTCAGTTCTATTCATATTAAGAATCACTTCCTTACAGGGGGCCTGTGTCCACCCTGAATTGATTGACTCTCCCATCATAGACTTCCATAAATCATGTATATCTCCTTCATAAAACTTGTCATGATTTCAGTTTAGCATTTTTTGTGTGATTATTTAATAGCTATCAGATTATCCAGAGTAGAGGTTAGCAGACTTTTTCTGTAAAAAGCTAGATAGTAAAGATTTTAGGCTTCGCAGGCTCTAGGGTCTGTGTTGCAATTACTGAACTCTAATGTTGCAGCTTGAAATTCATGAGTATGACTGTTCTGTTATAAACTTAATTTACAAAACCAGGCAGTATGCTGGATATGGCCAGGAGTTATAGTTTGCCAACTCTTGTATGCAACTATAAACTCCATGAAGGGAAGATTGTATGTCCTCATTACTTTCCAGAATTTTTTTTTTAATATTTATTTTTTAGTTCTCGGCGGACACAACATCTTTGTTTGTATGTGGTGCTGAGGATCGAACCCGGGCCGCACGCATGCCAGGCGAGTGTGCTACCGCTTGAGCCACATCCCCAGCCCCACTTTCCAGAATTTTTAAGGGATACTGGGAACTTCTAAACTTGTTGAATGTGAATGAACAAATTAATAATTGATTCATATAATCTTTGTAATCTTTGGTTTCTGCGTATCAGAAATTTCCTTTTCTTATTCTTTTGCCTTGCTGGGGATCAGACTCAGGGCCTTATACAAATATAGAAAGTGCTCTACCACTGAGCTACACCCTCAACCTTCAGAATTTCAGAAATCTTCATTACTTCTAATATTCTTAGCAATCATTATTCAGATGAAACAAAATCATGTAGTATAAAAGTATGAAGAATTCTTAAAGATCTTTTGTCAATGAAAAATTAAGAATCAAACAAAAAATATTTCACAGTGAAGGACTACTTTTGAGGAAGAGGATTGTAATTATAGAATTTTAAGAAAGGATTAAGAATTCATGACTTATGTTTTAGTATTGGAAGTAGAGGAATAAAATGCCAAAGATAATTTAGATTTTAACAATCAGAAGTCTGAATGTGCAGAGCATGAACATGAGACAGTAGAAGCATGGGGAGAGAGAAAAACAAGGCAGCCTCTGGTTGCAAGTGTCATATGAAGTTTGAATAAATGGTAATGTTACTATAATTGAGTTTTGCTTCCTTATTCACACCCACCCAACTTTAATGATGTCATGGTTTTTCCATGCGGGAACAAGTATGACTGAGTGGTGGTGGGGGAGTTCCCCTGACCATCATCTGTACTACACATATGCAAATTAGTAATATTTGTAGCTATTGAGAAGTTTTCCATAAATGACATTTTGAAACTTTTGTTAAATATTGTTGTTAGTATTAAACCTCTTTCTAATAAAATACATTTTAATACTTTTTTTTTTCAATACTTTCTTACAGTAACATCATGTAATATGGCACAAAACATTCTACTGGCAGGGCTGCGCAGCCAGCATAAATGAATGGAGCTGATTGTGTTTAAGAGGACTAGTAGGCATTACAGCAAACTGTAGAGTTCTGCATAAATGAGGTCCCCGATGCTCAGTCCCTACCAGTTGTTTCTGTGCCAACTTACATTACCAAACCTCTAAAATATTAAAGAGAATTCAGAATTTCCAATGTTTATATGCAGTTACTTGATTTTAAATGTAGACAACATTCCTACATCTAAAACAAACACACCTGTGGACTTGAGGCTGTGGGCATCTTTTTATACCTTTTCCTTTATATGATCAAATACATAGATTTTACTGATTTGATCATGAATTTGGGAAGCAACGTTTTGCTTTTTGGTGTTCCTTTCCAGTGAATCTGTGTCTACTTTGGTAAATTTGACATAGGCATATTGGTAAGGTATAATTATAATATATAAAAATTCTATATGTACATTTTTCTTGTAGCAGTTCTTTTAGAAATATAACACTACTCTTCAAAATTCTCCCATTTTGCGGCTGGGGATGTGGCTCAAGCGGTAGCGCGCTCACCTGGCATGCGTGCGGCCCGGGTTCGATCCTCAGCACCACATACAAAACAAAGATATTGTGTCCGATGATAACTAAAAAATAAATATTAAAAATTCTCTCTCTCTCTCTCTCTTTTAAAAAAAAAATTCTCCCATTTTTATCATAGCAATTAGAAATACAATTCATGCTTTAATATCTCCAGCCAACAAAATAATGTCTCCTCAGTGTGGGATATATGCTTGGTTTCTATAGTTTTTCTTTTTGTTAACTAGAATGCAGTTTTGAAAGTTTATTCTTTTCCTTCTAGTTTTCAAAATTTGGGTATCCGATGTGTTAAGAAAAAAGAAGTAAAGGAAGCCATTATTTCAAGAATAAGTTCAGGAATCAATCCTTTCAATGGTAAGTATCATTTCAATTATCAGTGGAGAATGTCATTTTTTTTCTGTAAGAAAACTGGTTCTCTTTAAATGTGGCCTTCCTTATGCCACTCTTCCAACAGACAATATACATTGTGAATGTTAGTAGGTAAGGTATTGGAGGTATAGTAGGGTTATAAGATATTGGAGTGCATTTAATTCATAGGCATAGACCACAGCAAAACTCATTCCCAAGCGTAGAAGTAGTAGTACATAAATGGGAAAATCCCACAAGACATTTTCATAGTATATTTGTTTATATTCCTACATATTTACTATTCAGTGGATTTTATTTAGATAGCATTTATTAAGCATTTATACTTATAGCATTATCCTGTTGTGGCTCCTGGTACTTTTTAGCACTCTATATTGTTTGAATGGGTAAATGGGTTTTGAACTAGATATTGGTTTCTATAATAATGGTATTCTTCCTTCTAACATGTTCTGCAGCTACTTAAATAGGCATGTCAGGAATTGAATGACTATACAATTTATGATAAATAGATATATTTGTCATATTTAAGACATACCTATATTGTTGGTTTGTTTTTCCTGAATGTGTAAAAATAATTTAAAGGAAATAATGATAATTTAAGGAATGTGCTTACAGACAAGTACTATTTTTATGGACCATAGGATGTGCATCTCTTTTGTTGTTGTTTGTTTGTTTTTAATAATTTTTTTTAGTTGTACATGGACACAATACCTTTATTTTATTTATTTATTTTTATGTGGTGCCAGGGATCAAACTCAATGCCTCACACATGATAGGCAAGCATTCTACCACAGAGCCACAGCCCAGCCTGTGCATTTCTTTTTTTCTAGGTCTTAAATTTTCATACTATTTAGTATAAAGGTGAAAGCAAAATCCCCCTACCTCTCCTTTTGTCTCACTTGCCAGAGAAGGCTACTATTAAGTTTGATGTATATTTTTTTAGAATTTCCTTTATACATGTATAGGCATAAACAGATGTACATTTTTATGTAAAGGGAGCGTTCTGTGCTTCATATTCTACTGCTTTAGTTTTTTCTACACAAGATTATATCTTAAACATCTTGTCAGTACTTACAGATCTATTTTTTTAACAGATTATTCTTTTGTTTGAATGGACTGTAATTTGTTTACCTAGTAATTGTAATGAACTTCTAGGTTATTTTCATTTCACTTAGAAACTCCATCAAATAGGCACTTTGAGCTCTTGTGTGAATATTTCCTTAGCATAAAATTTTCAGAACTGGTAAATTTATGGGTCAAGAGTATGCTCACTTAAAGCTTCAATTCAATGTCAAATTAAAAAACCAGATTTTTAAATTAAAGAGGCCATTCAAGTCTAGATGCAGTATAAAACAGGGAGATTGTTAATAGCTGTCATGTATTAAGGCCTTTTTGTATGTCAGGGAATAAATGTCATGAGCTTTATATACACTGTTTTATTGAATCATTAAAGCAACACTGCTTTAAAGAAGAGAAAACTAAAGCCTTGGTCATATAACTGTCCCAAATCATGCAGAAATTTATCTGCTACTTCTGTGGAAGGTTTTCTTTTGTTTGTTGGCAGTCCAGAACCAGGCATTATATTAATAACATTTGATAATGCTTAAAGTAATTCCTGATATAGTAAGTGCTTTACATATTTTACTTCATCTAATTCTTGTGACAACCTATGAGGTAGGTGTTATTCATCTCTCCTTTGTGTAAACAAGAAAATGGATGCATAGAAAAACTAATTTGCTCCAGGTCATATAAATAATGAGTGGTAAAGGCAAAATTTGAATACAGGTAGCCTGGCTCCAAGATTTATGGTCTTAACAAGTCTGTATAGATTTGGAAAAGGAATAATCCTGCAGTTGGTTTTTCACAGTATTTATGTTTTCTGTTGTTTAGATTGTTTTTTGTTTATGTGGTGTTAGGGATCTAACCCAGGGCATTGCACATGATGTGTAAGTGCTCTACTTCTAAGCTATAGCCCCAGCTACTTTTTGTTTTAACATCCATTCTTTCCTCCAGCCCTTTTGCCACTTCCCTTGTTTAGGAACTCATCATTTCATAATTTGAGTTGTAGCAGTTTTCCCCCAATCAAGTCACAGGTCTTTAGAATAATACTATGATATAAATCTTATAATGGCTTCTTATATAGTTTAAAAATTAAATGGCCCCTACATTCAAAGTCACCTACATAAAGCTCTGACATCTTTTCTATCTTCTCGTCAACTGCTTCTCTTCATGAACCCTTAACAATTCCAGAAAAACTATTTGTTTAGTTTACTCACTTTGACCATCTCAGTCCAGTGTCTCCAGTCTTTTCACTGACATTGTAGGAATGTAAGCTTACATCGTTTTTAATCTTGACAGTTGTTGACAGCCTCTGAACTTGCATTCTCACCTTTATCCTTGATATCCTTCTAAACATCCAAAAGATCCTCCTAAAATCACTATGATCATTTCAGAACTCTGCTAATTATCCTTCAGTGCCACTTCTGCAGTGGTTTTCAACTTGAATATTCACAGGAATCCCATAGTACTTGTTTAAAATACAGATTCCATGGAATTATCATTTGACCCAGCTATCCCACTCCTCAGTTTATACACAAAGGACTTAAAAACAGCATACTACAGTGACACAGCCACATCAATGTTTATAGCAGCACAATTCACAATAGCAGCACAATTCCACAATGTGGAACCAACCTAGATGCCCTTCAGTAGATGAATGGATAAAGAAACTGTGGTATATGTACACAATGGAATATTACTCAGCATTAAAAGAGAATAAAATCATGGCATTTGCAGGTAAATGGATGGAGCTGGAGAATATCATGCTAAGTGAAGTAAGCTAGTTCCAAAAAACCAAAGGCCAAATATTTTCTTAATATGTAGATGCTGATCCATAATGGGAGTAGCGGGGACATAGGAGGAATGGAGGAACTTTATAGATAGGGCAAAGGAGAGGGAGCAGGGCAAAGGGGAGGGAGCAGAAAGGAGGTGGCATGGGGGTAGGAAAGATGGTGGAATGAGATGGACATCATTACCCTAGGTACATGTATGAAGACACAAATGGTATGACTTTGTGTACACCCGGAGACATGAAAAATTGTGCTGTAAATGTATACTATGAATTGAAATGCATTCTGCTGTCAGGTATAACAAATTAGAATAAATAAATAAATTTAAAAAAATAAAATGTAGATTCAAGACCACATTTCTGGGTCTGGTGTGGGTCCTGGGAATCTGCATTTTAAAAGCACATTTAGGGGCTGGGGATGTGGCTCAAGCGGTAGCGCGCTCGCCTGGCATGCGTGCGGCCCGGGTTCGATCCTCAGCACCACATACAAACAAAGATGTTGTGTCCGCCAAATACTAAAAAATAAATATTTAAAAAAAAAAAAAAAATTCTCTCTCTCTACCTCTCTCTCACTCTCTCTTTTAAAAAAAAAAAAAAAAAAAAAAAAAGCACATTTAGTTCAATGTTTCTTCTTTGTGATTCACAGTAAGAAAGAGATTTTATTTCTCCACTCTTAATACATATACAAACATATGCAATACAATACATATGCAAACTCCACACCTTTACTACAGTACCCTTAATATAAGCATTAATGCTCCCTTCCTCTTTCCCTCCCTCCCTTCCTTCATTCCTATCTATGCTTGCCTGCCTTCCAGAAACTGCCTTTTCAATTTACTAAATTAATTTCAGTAGGTCCCAAACTACAATTAGACAATTTCTGCTCCTAAGTGATTCTGGTATGGGTAAACCATAACCACATTTTGAGAAACTAATCTGCTTGCTGAATTCAGCTTCTCAAGCATGACATTTGAAGCCCTTCATGATCCAGTTCTTTTTTCCATTCCACCTTTCCCCCTCTCTCCACTTCCTGCCCTTCTTTCCCTACCACTGATTGTACACATTTGCACTTTGGCTTTCCCATTCTGACCTGTTTGTACTATTGGGAGAGCCATATTCTTTCTTGCAACTAAACTGTTATATGTGCAGTTCCCTTGCATGGATTGCCTGATTTGCTTGATGAATTCTTCCTGGTCAGCCTTCATATTTAAGTGTAAAGATCACCCTCTTTAAACCTTTCCTACCTTCACTGACAGAGCTAAATATTCCCCCTGTTTGCAACAGGTTTTTTTTTTTCTTTTTTTTGAACCGGGGGTTGAACCCAGGGGTGCTTATCCACTGAGCTACATCCCAGCCCTTTTAAAATATTTTATTAGAGACAGGGTCTCACTTGGTTGCTAAGTGCCTCACTGATTTGCTGAGGATGGCTTTGAACTAACTTGCTATCCTCCTGCTGCAACCTCCTGAGCCTCTGGGATTACAGGAGTGTGCCACTGTGCCTGGCTCCAAAGTTCTTGTATATATTTCTAATATGGTTTGCTATAACTTTGTTTACATGTTTCTCCTTCACTAAATGGTGAAACTCTGGAGGATGGGGACTGTCTTCTGTATATTTCTGCCACCTGTTCTAGTGTCTGGCACATATAGTGACTTAATTAAAACTTCTTGAAAGACTAAATGAATAAATGAATGAGTAAACAGGACTTGTTTATACCTGTCTACCCAATATCTTCAAGTTGTTTTTCTTACCTGAAATCCCCTGAAAGCCTTCTCAGTTCTTTTAGGCCCAGGGTAATAGTCTGTTAATTATATAATTTGCTCAGCAGATTGAGTATAATTCCAAACAATCTCTTCTCTTCTCTTGCCTTTTTTTTTCCAGAATGCCAACCCTGAAACATGCTAGGCAAGTGTTTTACCACTGAGCTGCACCTTCCCATATCTTGACCCTCTGACTCTTCGTGATCTTGTTAGCTCTCTGATACCTTTAGAAGAATTTTGTTTCATATGTTATCCACCTTTTTTAGTTCTTACAGTAGAGTTGATTCCACTTACATGTCATCTGCCATTACCAAAAATAGAATCTCTTTTGTTAGCTTTTACTTAATAGTTTTCTTAAGCAGGTTATAAGATATCTAAATGATTATTCAACAAATTTTCAGTCATTCATTGAGGAAATGTGTAATATCCATTGAATGTAAACTACTATGTTCTCTGTTCTCTGTCAAGTGAAAATTTAAGGATGTTTCAGACACCTATTCTGACTCCTTGGAACTTTGTCGAATAGGATAAAAGAGGCATGCATAAATGATTATTATGTAAGAAAACTTTAACTGCATAAAAAAGCTAGAGGTCAACTACTGAGTTAGAATGAGTTTAGACTTTATAGAAGGAAGCTCTGAGCTGGGTCTTCATCCTCACACCAAATCCTATGTTGGGTAAAAACAAGTATTACTCATGATTCCTGTCAGTTGTTTTTAACCATTTTGTGCAGAAATGAAGTAATTTTGATGAAATAACTGTATTTGCACATATGGAGTAAAATTCAAAGCAAAATGGTATAGTGATCTTTTGAGATATAGGTATAATTTCTTCCCTTTGATAGAACCCAGTACATGATTAAATGTTTTTAATGTTTTTGTTTTGTTAACTAGTTTATTTTTTATATAGCATTTTAAAATATTTTAAGTAAACTTTATTGAGATATGAAATCCACTTAAATATATTCTCCCATGTAACCTCAAAATATAACCTCTCCATTATCCCCCAAAGTATCCTTCATCCCTTTCTCAGTTCCCTCCCCAGACTCTGGCCCAGTCACCTACTAATCTTCTCTGTCACCATATATTAAGTGTTTCTACAGTTTCATGCAAATTGAACCATGTAGTCTATTGCTCTTTCTTGTCTGGTTCTTCTTGCTCAGCATGGTGTTTTTGAAATATATCCAAGTTGGGGCAAAAATCCATAGTTGGTTCCTTTTTATTGCTGAGCATTACTGCATTGCATGGTTATGCCATAGTTTATTTATCCATTCGTATAGATTTGTTTTTAAACTTGTCAGGAGCACCTAGCTACAGATTATATGCGTGTGCATGTGTGTGTGTGTGTGTGTGAGTGTGTGTGTACTGATTACTCATCTTTGAAACTGAGAGACAGTGAGATCTTGAACTCCAAATTTACAATGCTATAAAACTTGGTTTTGAAGAAGGAAACCTCTTATTGCCTCCTTAATTAAGATGCCAGAAGAGTGTGCTACTATAATACATGTGTTGGCATCACAGCATTTTGACTTTTTATTATACAACTGTGTTCTTATAGACTCAAATGTTAGAGTCTATAAGACTCTAGCTTGAGAATGATGATATTGAGACAAATTTAAATGTTGTGATAATTACTGAGACTGTGTGAGTACAAATAAATTAAAACAGTATAAAACTGTTTTTATTAGTTATTGCCTGTAGTACTAAGGAATTTTTTTTCAAGGAATGTTTTTTCAAACTTAGTATTTTACATTTTAATATTTTATACAGTAAGTGTTAAAATATAAAATTTGTAAAATTTAATATATATATTTAAGCATTTAAAAATATAGCTGAATTGTTTATGATTTGTTATAGCTTATGGTATTCTTTGAAAATGCAGTAATATTTTTTTGTTGGAACTGGGTTTCTTTTCAAACATCAATATAAAAAACTGTTCTTACATTTTATTTTGTCATGAGTTTTTATTTTTTTCAGAACTGCAAAATTTTCCTACTGTAGGGTTTTTTGTTTTTGAGCAGACTTAATTTACAAATGAAGTATCTTATAGAAACTAGCTATCTTATATCATTTGGTATCTTCTTGGCACTTCATCCCTAAAATATAGATCTCAATTTTAATAGATATTCCTGTGTGTATGTCATTTTCATGTGGACTGTAAGTAAAATTTTCTAGTAGAGTTTAATTTTTAAAAGCATAAGCTCTGGAGTCAATGGCCTGGGTTCAGATTCCCACCCTACCACTTCCTAGTTGTAAAACTTTGGACAAATAATTTTGTCTCTTTAAAACTGGGGAAATAATTCCTGGAAGATTTAGAAGATAACTTAAACTAAACCAAATACAGATTTGTTGAATGAATATCTCTTCTCTGTTATGTATAACTTGCATCCATTTAAAAAAAAATCAAATTGTTATTAATTTCATTTTGGGGTTCTATTCTAAGTGTCAGCTTACTAGAATAGTTACTTCCTAAAAAGGCTATAATTTATCAAATACTGTTAGATAGTGACTACTTGATAATAATAAAAGGCATTCTTGAGACTGGGTACATTCTGTTTTTGTTAGTACAGATTTGGTTGCTATTCAAGCTTATTGGATATAATGGATGGGGAGTAAGACATAACAGGATTTTAGCTCTGTGTGACTATTCTGCATTTAAAAAAATATGTTTATACTTGTTCAGTCCCTGAGCAACAGCTGCTTGATATTGAAGATTGTGATCTCAATGTGGTGAGACTGTGTTTTCAAGTTTTCCTCCCTGATGAACTTGGTAATTTGACAACTGCTCTTCCTCCTGTTGTCTCTAACCCAATTTATGACAACCGTAAGTGCTTTATTTCCTTGTATTTGTAGTCTTAGCTTGTTTTTGTTTTTAAAGACTAGTTTAATTATTAAAAAATTTTTGGTATTTGGGAAAATAGTATATTCATCATAAGAAAAATTCAAATACTATAAAATACACAAAGAGTAAATCTCCTGCAATTTTATCCTCCAAAGATAATCACTGTCCTCAAACACATATTTTACCAGTTTTTTCTTTATACCAACAAATAAATCATCATCAGTCATATACACAATATAGTTTAAAAATATCATCATTGATCTTTCTAAAAACTTAATTTCTTTCTTAGTAATTTATCTTGAACCTCTTTTCCTCTTGGTTACATTATTCTTTCAATAACTGCATATTTCATGACATGCCTATATTGTAATTTTTTTATCTTTATTATTTTTATGTGGTGCTGAGGATCGAACCCAGTGCTTCACATGTGCGAGGCGTGTGCTCTACCACTGAGCTACAGCCCTAGCCCCCTATATTGTAATTTTATTAAATCATTATCCTTTCATGGGACATTTGGGTTTTTCTTTTCTTCTCATAGTTTTCCTTTTGCCCTAACAAATTTAATTGTGATAAGTATCCTTATATGTGAATATCTTGTATAAATATTACCCTGGCGTAAATTTTCAGAAGTAGAATGTTGACAGATGCTAGAACAAAAGATACAGAAATTTATCATTTGAAAAGACTGTGATGCTGCCGTCAAATATTTTAGCTGCACACACACAAAAAATATTTATTTACCAATGGTGTCTTATTATTACCTGTTTTGCATGTAGGTTAGTGAAACCTAGGTCTGTAAACGTAGATAATAGTATCCTTCTCATACAGAGCAGTGAATGTCAGCAAGAACTATTTAGTCATATTGTCCACATAAAAGAAAACATGGAAATTGTATTGCCCTAGGGACATGGATGAGATTTAAGATTAATCTAGCTGGCACAGTAGCACACACCTATAATCTTAGCAACTTAACAAGACTCTCAGCATTTAGCAAGACTCTATCTCAAGATAAAAAATAAGGGGACTAGGGATATAGCTCAGTGGTAAAGCACCTATGGGTTCAATGCCCAGTACCAGGAAAAAAAAATTAATCTGGTAACAGTATATAGGATGTATTGGAAGAATCAGAATTTAGAAGCAGGGAGATTTATTTAGAGAAAATGTCATTGCCCAGAAATGAGTCATTTGGCTCTAAACCAGATTATTTAAAGCAGCTAAAAAGAAAGGGACAGGTGTGAATGGTTAATGTATTTATTGTCATCTATCTGTACATACAAACTTTTATCTATTTTGTAAATGATTTCCCTCAAATCCTTCCCCTTACAACAGAATAATATGTATTATTAAGGTAGAGACACATTTTTAACAAATCCTTTATATTTAGGTGCCCCAAATACTGCAGAATTAAGGATTTGTCGTGTAAACAAGAACTGTGGAAGTGTCAGGGGAGGAGATGAAATATTTCTACTTTGTGACAAAGTTCAGAAAGGTATTTACTTATTTTGTTTCATTGAATTCAGAATGTATTTTAAATTAATAGATAAAATTTACTTTGTTTTTTCATTGTTGTTATTCATTTGGTTTCTTATTAACTAGATGACATAGAAGTTCGTTTTGTGTTGAATGATTGGGAAGCAAAGGGTAACTTTTCACAAGCTGATGTACACCGTCAAGTAGCCATTGTTTTTAAGACTCCTCCATATTGTAAAGCTATAACAGAACCAGTAACAGTAAAAATGCAGCTGCGGAGACCCTCTGACCAGGAAGTTAGTGAATCTATGGATTTTAGGTATCTGCCAGATGAAAAAGGTATGATACTTTGGTGTGGTATTGCTTTATATATGTCTTAATGTTGATCCTGCTACATGGTAAGATACATTTAGTCATTATATATATTCATAATTTATATATGTTTTCTGAACGTTTTCATTTTTTCCTTATGCTCTTTGCATCTCTTTCTTAGGAAGGTTTGATTAATCTGAAATAATTTCATATCATCTAAACTATTTATCAACATTTCTGTTTTAGCCAGGCATGGTGGTCCCCACCTACAATCCCAGTGACTAGGGAGGCTGAGGCAAGTTTGAACCCAGCCTCAACAATTTAAGTAACTTAGTAAGACCTTGTCTCAAGATATAAGAAAAATTGCTGGTGATATGGCTCAGTGGTAAAGTGCCCCTGATTTCAATCCCCTGTACACACATACAAACAAAAAAAAGACTTGGGATGTAGCTCAGTGGTAAAGAGCCCATGGGTTGAAGCCCCAGTACCAATACAAACAAATTATTTTTGATTTCGGAGTATCTATTTTTGTTCTTAGTATGCCCTTTTTATAGATGGAAAATTCACCACTTAGAAAGTGTTTGCTATTTTGATCCTTATCAGACCTTTCGTTAGTTGATATTGACTTACAGGTATTATAATGTACTTATTAAATCCAGATGCATATCTAGATGTAACAGATGTAAAATGTACGTCTATTTAAAGCTTTTTGTTTATTAATGGAGAGGAAATATAATTCCTTGATGATTCACCTACTTTCCTGGTTTCTTTTTAATCAGACACTTATGGCAATAAATCAAAGAAACAAAAAACAACTCTACTGTTCCAGAAACTGTGGCAGGATTGTGGTAAGAATATTTTGTATGATTCATATTTAAATAGATCTTGTTATTTGCTTTATTCAGTTTTTCAAGTTTTAATTGATAAATTATTTTTCAAATTGCATTTAATAATGGAAAAACTTTATCATAGCAGTCAATTTTCCTGAGAGACCAAGATCTGGTCCGGTAGGGTCAATCGAAGAAGGAAGATTCATCAAAAAAGGTATTTTATCCCCTGTGGAGTATTCCTTGCACAATGTAGTAGAATTCCATTTTTAAGAATAAGCCTTTCTTTGATATTTTCCTCTCCTATAAATTTTTTCAATATTTCAACATTGGATAATTTAGTTCTGCTTCTGTAGATTGTGTTGGAAACTGATTATGTTTGAAAAACTATATTTTTTTCATACAGTAGTAATTTTCCTAATTATAGTGTGTCATGGAAGAAATGGTTTAGGTCTGGCTAGTCACCTTTCTTATAAGTAAAGTTTTATTGGAACATAGCCATGCTCAGTTGATGACTTATCATCTCTGACTACCTCCCCTTCTCCACCCTGCCAGTACTAAACATCAACCCAGGGCCTCACGTATGCCAGGCAAGTGATCTATCACTGAGATAACATCTCCAGCCGCAGTTGCCTTTTCTATTTTTTTTTTTAAAACTACAACAGAAATTGGATGATTTTTAGCAGAGGTTATGTAGCTCACAAAGCATAAAATAAAATGCTATCTGGCCCTTTAGAGAAAAAAAATTGACAACTCCTTGGTTTATATAATTCAGCCAATGGTTAATTAGAATTTCTCTTATCTTTTTTTTTAATATTTTTTAGTTGTAGTTGGACACAATACCTTTGTTTTATTTATTTATTTTTATATGGTACTGAGGGTCAAACCCAGTGCCTTGCATGTGCTAGGTGAGCACTCTACTGCTGAGCCACAACCCCAGCTCCTTCTCTTACATCTTTTTTAAAAAAATTTATTTATTTTTATTTATATATAACAGCGGAATGTATCACAATTCTTATTACATATACAGAGCTCAATTTTTCATATTTCTGGTTGTATACATAGTATACTTATATTAGTACCTTTCAAAAACTGGACTGGAATTATATATCCCAAAATAACTTTAAAATTCATCTTAAATCCATTTATTAAAGTTACATGTTATAGAATTCAGTTTTGGACTTGTATAATAATTTTAGTGCTTTGAAAAACATTTTATTTAAAATGTTAAATCAGTTCTCTTGAAATTTCTCTTTAAGAATGTGTTTTTTATATTTTAATTTTGCAATAATGATTTTTATAACTTTGTTCATTTTAATTTTGTTAAATACATTTTCCCCCCACAGAATCAAACTTGTTTTCTCATGGTACAGTTTTGTCAGAAATGTCCAGATCTTCAGGAGTTTCTAGTCAAGGAGAATCCTACTATTCCTCATCTGTATCCATCTCCAGTGGATTGTCACATCATGCTTCAGCCATACCTTCAATGGTGCCTCAGCCTCCTTCAAGTTGGTCATCAATGGCCCATCCTACCTCACGTTCAGTCAATACAAATCCACTGAGTAGTTTTTCAACAGGGACACTTTCTGCTAATTCTCAAGGTGTATCATCATTCCTGGACATGTCTGTTGGTGATTTAAATGCTTCTAATGCTTGCATTTATAACAGTACTGATGACATAGGCAGAATGGAAACATCATCCATATCACCAGCTGACTTATATGGTATTTCTGATGCCAACATGCTGCCAAATTGCCCTGTGAATATGATGACAACCAGCAGTGATAGCATGGGGGAAACTGATAATCCAAGACTTGTGAGCATGAATCTTGAAAACCCCTCATGTAATTCAGTGTTAGATCCAAGAGACTTGAGACAGCTCCATCAGATGTCTTCTTCCAGTATGTCAGCAGGCACCAGTTCTAGTACTGTTTTTGTTTCACAATCAAATGCATTTGAGCGATCCGACTTCAGTTGTGCAGATAACAACCTGATAAATGAATCAGGACCATCAAATGGTACTAATCCGAACAATCATAATTTTGTTCAAAGTAGTCAGTATTCAAGCATTGGCACAATGCAAAATGAACAATTGAGTGACTCCTTTGCATATGATTTTTTTTAAGTTTATATTTCTTTTATGACATTATTAATGTATTCTTAAAAGAATTAACTAATATTTGCTTTCAAGCAAATATAAGGTAAAACCTGTAATGACTATGTCATTGGAAAAATATATTCTTGATTATTTTTGATGCCCATGGGCCAAAGTGACCCCTATGGGGTTTTCTGAAACTTCTTGAAGTTTCTTAAATTTATATGTACAGCAAAACTTCTTTAAAATGTTAAATTGGAGAAGCCAGTTGAAGTAAGCTTTCAAGGTATGGGAGGTTTTCTACCTTTTATAAGATTTACATCCATATCTTTAAAGTGACTTTCAATTTTAGTTCTACACCCATACTTTCAAGAGGAAGAAGTTTCCTTGGACCTTGCTTTTTTCCTTAGGTATCTTTATTCCATGTGATCTCAATAACTGCCTGTTTAACAGCTTTATCTATAAATTAATTAAAACTCAAACTCAACATATCCAAACCTGAGTTCTTGATTTTCCCTCCCAGACTTGCTTCTCCTTCAGTCTTCCCCAACTCAGTAAATGGCAATGCCATGCTTCTGGTTGCTCAGGCCAAAACCTTGGAATCATCCTTATCTTCTACTGTTAGCACCCTATTTCTAGCTGTCCTCATTGCTTGCCTGGATTAAAGCTGTAGCCTCCCAAACCTTCCTTACATCCTTGTTCCCCAGTAGCCTGTTGTCCATAAAGTAGTCAGAGTAATTATTTTTAAAACAAGTCAAATCATATTTGTCTGCTCAAAACCATCCAGTGGTTCCCCATCTCAAGAGAAGGGGTCCTAGTGCTTAAAATTAGCAGACCTGTGCACCCTTTCCTAACCCATGTATTACCATTTCCCCCTCTTCATGCAGCTCCAGGCACTCTGACCTTAATTCTCCTCCTCAGAGTACCAGGTACATTCCTGCCTGATATACTTTGTACTTGGTATTACTCTGCCTTAAATGTTCTCTCACTGTCACTGTCTAACTACTGAGCATTTGTTTACTATTTGTTTTCTTTACTAGTACGTAAGCTCCAGGAGGAGAGAAATTTTTGTATTTTGTTTACTGTTGAATCTCCAGTTTGTAGAACAGTCTGCCTCACATTAAGCACTCAGTAATATTTATTGAACATTTAGTGTATTCTTAGAACTTTTGTTTTTTGAAATAGCTTTTAATTTTACTAGATTTTTATAGTTTTTACATCTTGTTTGATGTTACATTGGGTTTTTATTAGAATCACTGAAGTCCAGTGTTAATAATGATATTCCAAATTGCTTAAAAGCAAAATAATCCCAATGGCAAAATGGTGACAGAATTTGGCCATTAATCTCAATTGTGATGGAATTACCATGATGCTAAGTAATTAATGTATTAAAGATCTAGTTTATCTTATAGCTAGGACCTACCCTAAATATTGAACATATTCCCATCTGGAAAGTGTGTATAATTTCACTTGTACAAAGTACAACCAAACCTTAAATTTAACATAAATTAATTCCATCAAAATGGGGTATGTGTGAATGACATATAAATAAAATTCTCAGTTGACTATTACTGGAAAATTGCCAGAAGAGCAAGGTGAGATTAGGGTCAGAATAGTCCAGAAAGCAAAATAAAAAGATTAGAAACCCATAAATACAATTAATATTTCTCAAGTTTTGATTTTAAAAGAAAATATTTGTCATATGATATAAATTCAAAAATCATAAGCACATAATAGTAGAAAATAAAATTTCTTTTCTGTTCAGAATATGAACCCAGGGTATCTCCAGATGGTGATTGTTAAGTGGTGATTTTTTTAAAAAAAAAATACAGTATCTTAATGTACAGTATTTTAGTGTATTAATTAGCACTGATCATTTTAAATACTTGACTGTTAGCTCAGTGAGTTTTAACCAAAAAAGCATTGAGTTGTTTTGCAGCTTTTTCCATTAAAAACTGAATTAGGGTACTTACTGCCTGCCACATCTATGTTTAGAGTATTCCAATTTTTCATTTTTCAAGTGCTTTTTACTGATCATAGAATTTGTAATTTAAAATGCATTTGGCTATAAGTTTCTTCTACTAAATGTGTTTGTACTTTGACCTTAGTTTTGTGGAGAAGGTACTCTTCTTATCTAATCTCCATTTGTTACACTGGATCCCTCTTCCTCTCTACTTCCCATCCCATTTCCTGTATCCTCACATCACCATTTAGTTCTTTTCTTTGTATATACATGGCAGGTGTCTTCTCCAGCCTAAAAATAAAAACCCCAAAAAACAAAATAGCAAAAACCTTTCCTACCACCCTGATATTCCTTCCCTCTTGATTTCAAAACTGTTTGCCTTTCCATTTCCTCACTTCAGTCTTTCCTTGTGTATCAATCTGTCTTTAGCTCCTACTATTTTCTGTGATATTCTGGGAAATGTGACCAGAGAGTAACCCCCTTGCCAAATCTAATGTCTTTTTAGCAGTCATTACTCTGCATATCCTTTTTTACAACTTACCTATTGACCATTCCTGCTATGGATACTCCTCTGGCATTTCTGTGGTGGACAGGATTTCTCTCTGAGGTCTGTTTTTTCCTTAGAGCCCCATCCCTAGTCTTCAGATGGTGCTGGTTTTTCCTCTGTGTAGTCTTAGTGCCCACAGCTTCAGCTTTCGATAACTGCCTGAATGCCCTTATAAACTGGTGTCTCCTCTTGCATTCTCTGCTTTTCTTAATGGCATTACCATTTACCCAATCACAAAAGCACATATTTCTTTTCTCTCTTACACTCATATTTAATCGAGTTCCTTTGAATATGCTATTGATGCAATTGTTTTCAATTGTTAAAATGCTTTTGATTGTACAGAATGTTTACCTTTGTAATAACTTTGTATACACTGATTTTTTTTCCTTCATAATAAAATGGAAAAAATTCTAAAACCCTTGCTAAAATTTTGTCATTTGACTTTAAAAAATATCATATTTTCTTAGTATTTATAGCATTTTCCGTACAGGGAAAGGTAATCTGGTTGCTTGGAAACTTTTGGCATTTTTATGAAATGCTCTAGCTAGATATTCTTCCATTTGTAACTATTCTTTGAAATTAGAATTTGGTAGAATACTAAGAGACCTGTCTTCCTGGCTTGCAGATGACTGCATTCTCTGTTCTCACGAGTGGGGGCCAGGAAGGAGGGAAAATAAGAGGAGGAGGTAGGGGAGGAACTGGGTCTCAATCAAAGTCTCTGGGACAGCTTTTTTAAAACTTTTTTAAAAACATTGACATGAAATTTTTATCCTTTTACCAATTTCTCTCCAAACCCCGCTGCTCCTAAGCCCAAGTAACCACTTCCATCCTCTGAGTTTTACCTTTTTCAGACCCCACATGTGAGTGAGATCATGTGTTATTTTCTTTTCTGTGCCTGACATATTCCATCTAATCTAAGTGTCCTCCAGGTTCATCCATGTTGTTGTGAATGATAGGATTTCTACCTTTTCTGTGGATGAATGCTCTTCCATTGTGTAGATGTATCACATTTTCTTTATTCATTGAGGTATACTGGATTCCTTTTACTGGCTGTTGTAAATGCTGCAATGAACATGGTAGTGTATATCTGAGTGCCTGCTTAGCATGTGTGAGGCTCTGAGTTCAATCACCAGCATTTAAAAAAAAAAGAAAAAGAAAAAAGGTAGCCACAAGTTCCCACAGTGAGAAATAAATTGAAAGGGAATACCAACCAATAAATGTATAGTACAAGTAATGATGGAATTTGAAAATCAGTATTTGGCAATCAGTGTGGTAATTATTGATTCAATTGAAAATCTTCAATGGATGCTAAAACTAATGAGTGAAAATTTGATGATCTCTTTATAAGATACTTAATTACAAAGGGAAAAAAGTTACTATAAAAGTGAAAGTTTGGTGAACCATACCATAATCAATTGATCAAAGCCCAGCCATCAGTAACTGGATATATAAAAACTGTTTGACACCTTAGATAATATAAGAACAATATATCTCTTCTGTGATTTCTTATCAAAAAACATAATGTGAATCTTAAGAGGTAAATTCAAAATAAAACAGTCCACAAAATAACTGGCCTGAAGTCTTCAAAACTCTTGAAATAATGAATGTCAAGGAACTTTCAGATTGGTAAGACATTAAGAGACAGTATGATCACTTGAAAAATACCAGTGTGATAGTAATGCAGTCAACATTTATAGCAGCTCAATTCACAATAGCTACACTGTGGAACCAACCTAGATGCCCTTCAATAGATGAATGGATAAAGAAACTGTGGTATATATATATACGTAATGGAATATTACTCAGCATTAAAAGAATAAAATCATGGCATTTGCAGGTAAATGGATGGAGTTTGAGAATATCATGCTAAGTAAGTATAAGCCAATCCCAAAAAACCAAAGGCCAAATGTTCTGATAAGTGGATGGTGATCCACAACAGGAGGGGTTCGGGGAGGGCATGGGAAGAGGGGGCATGGGAGCAGAAAAGATGGTGGAATGAGATGGACATCACTACCCTAGGTATACTTATTACTGCACATCACTACCCTAGGTATATTTATTACTGCACATATGGTGTGATGCTACATCATTTATAACCAGAGAAATGAAAAGTTGTGCTGCAACTGTGTACAATGAATCAAAATGCAATCTGCTGTCATATACCTAATTAAAATAAATTAATTAAAAAAAAAATTTAAATACTGGTGTGACAAATAGTGGCACTTGAATGGGGTCTTTGGATTAGACAATAGCAATCAGCAGTGTTAACTTCCTGATTTGGGTATTTGTATTGTGGTTAAGTATGTCTTTCTAGGAATTATATATCAATATATTTGAGTTTGAGAGGTGTAACTGGTTTAATGATTCAGGAAAGAGGGCCCTTTGTTCTGTTCTTCTACTTTCCTGTAAGTTTCATAATAAAATGGGTAGCACCATTTAAAAAAATTCAGACATTAAATCTCACATGTGTACTTAAAAATCAAAGAATAAAGCAACAAAAGAAAAGATCTGCTAAGGTAAAATTTTTTCTTTTATGAAGTGGAAATTTAGTTTCTGAATTTACTTCACTTAACTTGCAAATGTAACCAGTTATCTTACTTGAAAATTTTTCATTTTACGAATTCTATTTTTTCTTGACTCTTCCAGGTATTAAGAGTTGATGGTTTCCCTAAAACAAATCACATACTATATATGGGAAAGAGATATCAAGAAGAACAAAGCCCCCTTTAAATGTTATTTAAAAGATTTCTAATTTAAATAAAATTTAAAGAATGAAATAACTAATTTTAAAATATTTTATATAGGCCAAGATGGAAACTATAATATTCTCATTACTTCATGTACCCAGTTCTGCCTTAACAGACCTACATTAATTTTTAACAACTTGCCTCAAAATTATATGAACACATGGAGTAAGTATTTACAGCTAATGTTTATTCTGCTTGAAATTTTGCAAATTTAAGAAACGGAAACCTTCTAATTTAAATTCGTTAAGAAGGCTCTTGATTCTTCCAAATTGCCAATCCACTGGATTCAAAACTGAACCAAAAGTAACTAGCAAAAGACTTTTCCCTAAATTTAAATCTTTTTGAAGTCAAATTTCCCCAGAAACTGAGAAACATCCACACAAATGCTTTTTTTTATCAAAGTTTATTTCTGTGATCCTTTTCTCATTTTTTGGCATTGAGAATAGTGAAACATATACTTGCTACTATTCACATATGAGTAAATACATGGTTTCAAAGTGGTAGTCTTACTTTTTCATGTCAAAACCATTTTCCTGATATCTAAAGTGAATCTTGGTATCTATGAACTATGTTTAGTATAGAGATAAGAAACAGTCATACTGTCCAAGTCCTTAAAGCTCAAATCGTTAAATCAGGTGATGGAAATTACACTTAAATCTGAAATTTTAATGAGCTTCCTTTCTGAAACTATTAATGAGCCATCCATTTTCTTTAGGATGATTATATGGGACTATATGATATATATTTGGGCCATTTTTTGGTAAGTTTCTTGATTTGGTATCTAAATTCCAAAAGTCAGTTCTTACGGTTACATGAATTTATTTGGTACTCTCAGATGTCTCCTTCATAAAATAGGTGATAGATTAACAGGGTTTAATTATGAAAGACCCTAGGGACTAAGATACTTCAGTTCTAGTGTTGGATATCAAAGTAAAAATTTTAGATAAGTCATTTATTTAACTTTTATTCTTTGGTTTCCATAATTAAAAAATTAGAGGCAATATCCTATCTACCTTATTAAAATGTTTGAAATTGGATAATATATTGAAGAACTTTGAAATAGTATCAGTTTACTTTTAGCAATCTCAATTTTTCAAATTGTTAACCCTGGGATTGAAGTTATTAAAGGCACTTGTTTCTCTTTATTTAAAAGGTCTGTGAAAATCTCTTACCATGGTGTGCCTCAATTCCTAAAGTTTCACTTTCCTTCCACAGGGGACATGCACTAACAATTTTAGATTGTCAAAATAGTAATTTGAGGTCATTATGATTTGTCACAAATTACACCCAAAAGTACTTCCATTGATAATAGCTTGCTTGAGGCCTCCCAGGAAAAATATTAATGATGTCATATTTGCATTGATATCTTAGAATATTATAGGATACTATGCTGCATAAATCCAGTAGAACTTTTGTTCAGATAATTTAAAAATTTAGAACATGATTTTAAAGGTGACATGTCTCCTGCAGAAGAAATCTTGCTGAAAGAAATTACAGCTTCTTGAATTAACAGTTTTTCCTGTTTGTGCGCCTCTCTGAATGAAAGAATTAGGAAGAAGAATGGTTTCACTGTTCATAGTTTCACTGGGGAGAGTGAGAGAGGGAATGAGAAAAGTCATAAGACATTCTTAGAACAACTGAACACAAAATATACACACAGATCCTGAGATGTTATAACAAATTTAAAAATAGATCAACATGATCCAAATGGTTTCCAAGACACCGTTATGGTGAGTAAACAGCCATTTTACAGGGTATGTTGCATGGATGTCCACATCATGCCAAGAAAACCCTACTCTTTATCTCCAAATCTAAAAGCTAGTCATCCAGAGCAGGTGGCCAGTCAACGTCTACAGACTAAAAGGGAGAAAACAAGTTATTACTACAGATACTACTTTTCTGATAAGCATTTGCAGTAATAGTTTTAATATAATATAGAAGAAATAACATTTGAAGGAAAAGAGCAATTGAATACCAAAGTCTACTCTGGGGATTCTTAGGTCCAAAGTCTGTTTCTGAATTAACTGAATAGCAGTATTTGGTTACTTGGCTGGTTTATAATTGTACCTTTTGATGCATAAGACAAAAAAATTAAATTTAAAAATGTTTATGAGTGGGCTGGGGTTGTGGCTCAGCGATAGAGCACTCGCCTAGCACATGCAAGGCCCTGGGTTTGATCCTCAGCACCACATAAAAGTAAATAAAATAAACATATTGTGCCCAACTACAACTAAAAAACAAATATTTTTTAAAAAGTTTATGAGTAAAGTAGCAAACAAATTCAAATCCAGGTGGTTACACTAGTTTTCCCTCAAAAAGTCTCAGCAACTTTTATTCTTCTGATCATATTCATTCTGCCATCTTACATTTAATAGAATTACGTGTAGCTGAACTGTGGGGCCACATTCTAAATAAGAAATGCATCATTAGGTGATTTTGTCATCATGCAAATATCATAGAGTATATTTACTCAGACTAATACATCTATGATGTCACTAAGTGATACAATCTATGGGACTACCATCATATTTGCTGGCAATCACTACTTAGGTCACTGTACTGCACTCAAGTACTTGTCTATAAACTTATAGCCTTGTTTGTAATTTAGCAACTAGATGTGAAGTAAATAAATAGGAAAGATCACCTGGAACTAGGAAAAAATTAAGGATCTTTTTGTTTTACTTCACCAGAACTTATTTCTTTCAAAATCCAATTCATCTCTATCAACTTGCCTTCACTTTGCTCTTCTAGAACACCAACTCTGGCATTCTGGTAAGCAAAATATTTTGTCTCCACATAAACAATCACATTCCAGAAGTACAAAATACATCTTAATTACCCTAGAGGACCTATTTTTTAAAAAGGCTTTTTAAAAATCCATTATAACCATGTTTCTTTATTGACAAAGCTTAAAGTCTGAAATCATTTACTGAAAATTTTTTCATTAATTTTTGAGTCACTTCATATTCCAGATTCTAAAAAATTATTAGAAAAGCCCAAATAACTATTGTGTTTTTCCAAATCTCAAAAAGACATTTTGATAGTGCTTCAGAATATAGCCATAGTTTTTCAAACTGAAAATTAAAGATCACTGATCACAATTGTGTGTGTTGAGGGCAGAGAAGGGTAGGAATGCTGTAGTGTTGAAAAAGCTTCATGGGTGATTCCAATAGGCACTCAGGGCTAAGAAACCTGGAGCTATGGCTCTTGACACTCTTCAGCTGTTCTAAGAACAGTTGGCATTTTCTTTAACAAATGTTGTCTTTCTTAAAATGACAGCCCCTTTAAAGAGGCTCCCTGCAATCTTGAAGGGTGTCTCTGGCTGGTGTGTAGGAGATCTATAGAATTTAATCTGAGAGCACTTGAGAGGATTGCTGTAAGGTAATAATGATCATTTGATTACCATGCCAGGCAATATACCCACTTTTTAAAAAAAAATAACTTTGATTTTATTCTCAAATGCAAAATTCTAACCACTTCCTAGGATTTGGGGGGTGGGGTAGATGGGGTATGGTGGGAGGTAAAGAGGGACACTAATCCTAATTAAATTCTCATCAAGGAGCACAACTTGTGGCTCAAGTTCTATTGATGCTCAAATGAAAAAGAAAACGTTTGTGAAGAATTTCCTGAAAAATCCATTCTTGTAATTATTTTAGAATTTAACCTTGTTTCAATTACTATAAGAGTAGAGAATTACCTCATAGGTGTCCCTTATAGAACCACTTTTGAACCATATCACAGGAATCCCTTAGAGAATTATTTTTGTTAGTAACCATTGGCTCATCCCATTTTCTATCCCTGTCCTAAATATAGTTTCCAAACACTCTGCCTTAAAGTCTTTATAAATGAAACTGGTATAGGAAATAAACCCTGAGTCCCTAAGGACATTTGAAGGTCACTTATAATTTTATTCTCTCGTTTAAGAGTTTAATCTCATGCCAAATGTAAAGCACAGTTAGTAAATTAACTATATATCAGCCTCATATTTATAAAAATTCAGAAGATAGTCCCTTCTCTACTGTGAGGTTTTGCCACTTCCAAATAATTATGAAGGTGAGAAGTGCTATTTGGTTTAATGCCAAAAGGCATAACTTTGGCTGAATTCAATTTGCATGTATGCAAATGTTCCACAATAAACGGTTTACCTCCACATCCAGCTCAAGAATGTCAGCAGTCACATTCATCAGAGAGCCAATGTTTGGCCTGGTTCTCCCAAAGTCTCCATGTACAAACTCTTTAATGTAGCTGGAGTCTGTTTAAGGAAAAAATGAGGATAGCCATGCAATATCAACTGGTAAGATTTCACAGGTGAAAAGGAAATAATAAAAGTAGAAATGTTACAAAGGAGAGATCAGTCCTGGCTCTAACTTTAGATGTGTGTCTTAGGACAATTGATTCCTACTGGCATAGCAGCCAACATAAGTACCTGAGACCTGTGTTTACAACAAACTTAGCAGAAGTCATGACTTTCTTTTTTCTTTATAGCTCATCTCAAATTGCCAAGGTTTGAGAATGGATTTTTAAAATTAATTATAATTCAGTGCTTTTTAAAAAATATTTTTCGGGGCCGGGGATGTGGCTCAAGCAGTAGTGTGCTCGCCTGGCATGCGCAGGTTGCTGGATTCAATCCTTAGCACTACATAAAAATAAAATAAAGATGTTGTGTCCACCGAAAACTAAAAAATAAATATTAAAAAAACTTATCTCTCTTTCTCCCTCTCTCTTTTTTAAAAAAAAAATTTTTTTCTTTGCCAAAATTTTGACTCCCACCTTCCTGGTCCCATTTTTCAATAATGGCAACTGGCATCTGCCCAGACAGTAGGTTCCACAGAATCACACATACAATGACCTCAATGATGGATTTTCTTGTAACATGATCCAGTTATGGCAATATGATAGAAGAGACAGTGAAAATACCTAATCTTGATACAGATCCTTCATGAGAATTATGGAAGGCCTAGTTGTCTGCTAATATGGTTATTAGCAAAAAATTAAGTTTTGTTTTGTTTTTGTTTTAGAAATGACTTTGTATTTTTCCTTCATAAGTCTTTAAATTTGAAAGGCAATGACAAAATTCTGGAATTTGATCTTGGTAAGATTACATTAACGTTCCTCACACAGGACTCTACAGTAGCCTTGAAAATATTTATCTTTGAAAGATACAAGTTTATATCAGTGTTCAGTAAAAACCCAGCATCATGCTGAGTTATAGAAAGCAGTATTTAGGGCAAACCATTTAATAGAATTTGAACAGGAAAAACACATTTATTCTTAGAAGATAAATAAATCAATACTATAACATGCTGATATTATGTCCTCATTTCCTCAAAGCTTATTCACTCTTCCTTCACTTGAGTGTTTTGACTCATGTAAGACTTGTAATTATCTAGTGATGGCCATTTTTGCTAAACTCAACAATTGCCATTCTCTTTCTTTCATTTTCTTCAAAAAATCGCTATTTCTGATAGAAATAAGGAGATGACCAAAAAGCCCCAAAATAACCAGTTAAAAGATCGAGAGAGGTTATATTCACAGCCAGAAGAACGACATTTAAAGCAAACAAACTAGCTCAGTATACTGAGCAATATATGTACACAGAGTATACACAAAATAAATTTAGTACGTGGATAGCCATATGGTATCTAAAGCTTTGCTAGTCTTTCTTGGCAATGCCTTAAATACACGTATGTGGCTGGTTCTAAAAATATTTTAATAGGATTGAAAAGACATTAGTTTCTCCAAGACATTGCATTTCTCCTTGGCACCCAAAAACTAAAGCCAGAATTAGGTAGTAAGACTTTTTTTTTTTTTTTTTTTTAATCTGTGGTCGGAGGCAAAACTCAATGATGAAATAAGTGTGTGCTAACTGTGAGAAGCTCTGGGTTCAATACCCAGAATCAAAACATAAATAAAATGTAAACACCTGTGATTTCTTTGAAATTCCATCCACAATAGGGAAGTGTCCTCCAAACAACAAAGATACAAAGATCTACCCACTGCACCTAAATAAATCATCCCTACATCCAAATTGTAAACTTTATAAGATATTTGGAATAGACAACCTATCCCTGATTTGGCCAAGTAAATCCAGATCACTCCTGGAGCAGAGGTGAAGAGGTTGGTAGGAAAAGAGAAGCAGAGTAGTTAAAGCAGCAATGTAGTCAAAGTGCTATTTGATATATTTGTTATATACATGTTATTACTTTTATACCAGTTAAAAGGCATTTTATCACTTCATGCTATTGGATCACAAGGCTAGGACCACAGGAGCTCCCTGATACATGTGAATCACCACCTCAGTTCTGATACAAAAACACATAAGTCAGATTAAGTTATATAAAAAAATGACCAGCCCTGGACTGTGGAAATTTAAACTGAATTTCAACCTTTACTATTTATAACAGTCAAACTTTTAGGAGTCTGAAAATGGTGCTAAGTGCCAGCACAGCATTCCTGTCGACAAAGTTTATGTGGCTCAAATAAATGACATGTAATCTGAAATGCTTTGTTTTTGTTTTTTCACAAGACATGAAGAAAAAGAATATTTCTGTTGTTCTGGGCCAGCACCCAAATAAAGATCAATATGTGAAGTGTCACCTGGCATGATGGCACATGCCTGTTGTCCGAGCACTTTGAAGGGAGTCTAAGGCAGAAGGATTGCTTGAGTCCAGGAGTTCAAGACATGCCTGGGAAACATAGTGAGTGAGATTCTGTCTCTTAAAAAAAAAAAAAAAGTAAAGTAGCACTACCACTATGTTTAATCATCTGGGACAAATGCTTGAAATGCTAAAAAGACCCCAAAATGGTCATGAATACATTACTTGAAAAATATGTACAGACAGCAAATGAATCAATCAAAAGTATTTTCCAACTATTTACCATGTGCTAACCACTATGTAATACACTGTAATTAACTGAAATATAAAACTAACATTGGACTGCTACCTCATAGTTTAAAATATCCTCTTGAGAAATAAATTTAATGGGGGAAAAACCCCTCAAACAAAAAAATAATGAATTTCTTCCCAATGTAATACTTTCCCTAATGCCTCCCAGACCAAGCTAAACCTATTTTCTAGGGCAGCATAAACTCTCGTGGGGTTTTGACTAGATTATTGCAATACACAGGTGAAAGGATACGTTCCAGCTTGAGTCTTCAGATAAAGGCGGAAATGATGTTCATCCACATAGTGTGTCTCCATAGAGTGGATGACACGAGTTCTCAAAGCCAAGGGTCTTCGGTGAAGGACCCGTAGAGGGGTTTTCTGGTCAATCTTTAGGTCCTAAAGGAAGACAACACAATCACAGTGAAGCCTGTCCTAGCAATTCCTTTGTTACCCACAGCTCACCACAGTTGTTTCTTTGGAGGATTCCATCTATCATTGTCAAGAGTAAGAGGTAATCAAAACTGGAAAAAATTATGTCCCTTCTGGGACATATGCAGCATGTCTTATATCCTAGTTCATAATTACTCATTTTCTGGGCCCAACAACCCTCACCATAAAAAAGACTTGGGGACTGGTAGAGCACTAGCCTAGCATGCGTGAGGCCCTGGGTTCGATCCCCAGCATCACAACAAAACAAAAAAAGTGGGGTTTGGAAGTAAATGATCCTCCAGGTCTCTTCTGCTCTGAAATTTAACAAACTGATAGGACCCTGGAGTTTTATCCTGCCTTTTACTTCAGTAGGGCTCTTCTACAGGGCAATGTTGTTACAATAGTTTTCTTTTTCTTTCTTCTTCTTCTTCTTCTTCTTCTTCTTCTTTTTTTTTGTTTGTTGTTGTTACTTACTCTTTCTTCCTCCTCCCCTCCCCTCCCCTCCTCTTAATTTTATTTTTACAATTGTTTTCTAACCCAGTCAAGCAAGTGAGGATTTCAGTTGGGGTACAAAATGGTTGGTTGCAGAAGGCTGCAAATCAATGCACCTGTGTGTACGGGCAATGTGCATTCTTTAGGGAGAACCATATACAAATTTTCAGGGTTTTCTGTTTTGTTGGTTTGTTACACAAAAGTCTATAATTTGTAAGAGCTGAGTTATCATTTAGTGTGACATTTCAATATAGTAATTACAAATAAATATGTACAACAGAACAAGTCTGTTAATATTTATTAGCCCAGCTTGAGAAAAACAATATTTATGTCTATTAACAATTCAGACTTTCTTTAGAGACATAGGCTTACTTTTCTCATAATTAGTTCAAATTAGAGACTTTCCTTTATGTAAACATACAAATTAAGATGCAGACGTTAATACCATAAAAGGTCAACTAATTCCAAGTTTTAAAAATTTATTTATTGATTCTAATTTATTATACATGACACCAGAATGCATTTCAAAAGCACAATTTTTCATGTCTCTGTTTTTATATTTTTTTCCAATATATGTTGTACACAAAGTAGAGTCACACCATTTGTGTCTTCATACATATAGTTAGTGTAATGGTGCCTATCTCACTTCACTATCTTTCCTACTCCCTGCCACCTCCCTTCCCCTTTCTCCCTTTTGCTCTATTTAAAGTTCCTCCATTCTTCCCATGCTTCCTCCCCACCATTCTGGATCAGCATCTTTCCACATATCAGAGAAAACATTCTGCCTTTGGGTTTTTGGGATTGGCTTACTTCACTTAGCATGATATTCCCCAATTCCATCCATTTACCTGCAAATGCCATGATTTTATTCTCTTTTAATTTCATAGAAATAGAAAAAGCTGAGTAATATTTCACTGTGTACATATACCACAGTTTCTTTATCCATTCATCTATTGAAGCACATCTAGGTTGGTTCTACAATTAGCTATTGTGAACTGTGCTGCTATAAATATTGATGTGGCTGCATCACCATAGTATGCTGTTTTTAAGTCCTTTGGGTATAAATTGAGGAATGGGATAGCTGGTTCAAATGGTGGTTCCATTCCAAGTTTTCCAAGTAATCTCCACACCGCTTTCCAGATTGGTTGCACCAATTTGCAGTCCCACCAACAATGTATGAGTGTGCCTTTTTCCCCCAAATCCTTGGCTTTGTTATTCAATAAGTGTATTGTATATCATCTTCTAAGGACTGTCTGTCTAGTTCCTTGGCCAATTTAGTGATTGGGTTATTTGGGTTTTTTTTTTTTTTTTTTGGTGTTAAGATTTTTGAGTTCTGGGGCTGGGGTTGTGGCTCAGGGGTAGAACACTCGCCTGGTGCATGCAAGGCCCTGGGTTCGATTCTTAGCACCACATAAAAATAAATAAGTAAAAATAAAGGCATTGTGTACAACTAAAAGAAATATTTAAAAAAAAGATTTTTGAGTTCTTTATATATCCTAGAGATTAGTGCTCTGATGTGAGTGTGGTAAAAATTTGCTCCCATTCTGTAGGCTCTCTATTTACCTCACTGATTGTTTCTTTTGCTGAGAAGAAGCTTTTTAGTTTGAATCCATCCCATTTATTGATTCTTGATTTTACTTCTTGAGCTATAGGAGTCTTATTAAGGGGCCTAATCCGACATGATGGAGATTTGGGCCCACTTTTTCTTCTATTAGGAACAGAGTCTCTGATTTAATTCCTAGGTCCTTGATCCACTTTGAGTTTTGTGCATGGTGAGAGATAGGGGCTTAATTTCATTTTGATGCATATGGATTTCCAGTTTTCCCAGAACCATTTGTTGAAGAGGCTATCTTTTTTTTTTTTCCAATATATGTTTTTGGTGCCTTTGTCTAATATAAGATAACTGTATTTATGTGGGTTTGTCTCTAGTGTCCTCTATCCTGTACCATCAGTCTACAAGTCTATTTTGGTGCCAATACCAAGCTGGTTTTGTTACTTTTGCTCTGTAGTATAGTTTAAGGTGTGGTATAGCAATGCTACCTGCTTCACTCTTCTTACTAAGGATTGCTTTGGCTATTCTGGGTCTCTTATTTTTCCAGATGAATTTCATGATGCTTTTTCTATTTCTATGAGGAATGTCATTAGGATTTTGATTGGAATTGCATTAAATTTGTATAGTGTTTTTGGTAGTATGATCATTTTGACAATGTTAATTCTGCCAATTCAAGAACAAGGGTGATCTTTCCATCTTCTAAGGTCTTCTTTAATTTCTTTCTTTAGCATTCTATAGTTTTCATTGTAGAGGTCTTTCACCTGTCTCATTAAGTTGATTCCCAAGTATTTCTTCCTTTTTTTTTTTTTTTGAGGCTATTATAAATGGGGGTAGTTTTCCTAGTTTCTCTTTCAGAGGATTTGTCACTGATGTACAGCAATGCCTTTGATTTATGGGTGTTGATTTTATATCCTGCTACTTTGCTAAATTCATTTATTAGTTCTAGAAGTTTTCTGGTGGATTTTTTTTTTGATCCTCTAAGAATAGAATCATGTCATCGGCACATAGTGATAGTTTGAGTTCTTCTTTTCCTATCGGTAACCCTTTAATTTCTTTCATCTAATTGCTCTGGCTAGAGTTTCAAGAACTAGGTTACTAGAAGTTGTGAAACATGGCATCCCTGTCTTGTTCCAGTTTTTAGAGGGAATACTTTCAATTTTTCTCCATTTAGATTGATATTGGGGCTTAGCACCAATAGCTTTTACAATGTTGAGGTATGTTCCTGTTATCACTAGTTTTTCTAGTGTTTTAAACATGAAGGGGTGCTGTATTTTGTTGAATGCCTTTTCTGCATCTATAGAGATAATCATATGATTCTTATCTTTAAGTCTATTGATGTGATGAATTACATTTATTGATTTCCATATGTTGATCCAACCTTGCATCCCTAGGATGAACCCCACTTGTTCATGGTGCACTATCGTTTTTGTGTTTCTGTATTCAATTTGTCAGAATTTTATTGAGAGTTTTTGCATCTATGATCATTAGAGATATTGGTCTGAAGTTTTCTTGCTTTGATGTGTCTTTGTCTGGTTTTGGAATCAGGGTGATATTGGCCTCATAGAATGAGTTTGAAAGTGTTCCTTTTTTATATTTCATGAAACAATTTGAGGAATATTGGTATTAGTTCTTCTTTGAAGGTCTACAGAACTCACTGTATATCCATCTATCTTGGTCCTGAGCTTAGGCTTCTGATGGAATCTTCCTATTTCATTGCTTGAAATTGATCTGTTTAACTTGTGTATATCATCCTGATTCAGTTTGGGCAAATCATATGACTCTAGAAATTGTTCAATGCTTTTGATGTTTTCTATTTTATTGGAGTACAAATTTTCAAAATAATTTCTAATTATCTTCTGTACTTCTGTAGTATCCATCGTGATACTTCCTTTTTCATCATGGATGTTAGTAATTAAGTTTTCTCTCTCCTTCTCTTCATTAGCATGGCTAACGGTTTATCAATTTTGTTTATTTTTTCAAAGAATCAACTTTTTGTTTTGTCAATTTTTTCAATTATTTTTGTTTCAATTTCATTGATTTCAGCTCTGATTTTAATTATTTCCTGTCTTCTGCTGCTTTTGGTATTGATTTGTTCTTTTTCTAGGGCTTTGAGATGTAATGTTAAGTCATTTATTTGTTGACTTTTTTTCCTTCTAAGGAATGAACTCTAGGCAATGAACTTTCCTCTTAGAACTGCTTTCATAGTGTCCCAGAGATTTCGATACATTGTATCTGTGTTCTCACTCACCTCTAAAAATTCTTTAATCTCCTCCTTAACGTCTTCTGCAACCCATTGTTCATTCAGTAGCATATTATTTAGTGTCCAGGTTTTGGAGTGGATTTTATTTATTTTATCGTTGATTTCTAATTTCATTCCATTATGATCTGACAGAATGCAGGGTAGTATCTCTACTTTTCTATATTTGCTAAGAGTTGCTTTGTGGCATAGTATATGGTATATTTTAGAGAACGATCCATGTGCTGCTGAGAAGTGTATTCACTCATTGGATGAAATATTCTATATATGTCTGTTAAGTCTAAGTTATTGATAGTTATTGAGTTCTATAATTACTTTGTTCAGCTGTTGTTTGGAAGATCTATCCAGTGGTGAAAGAGGTGTATTAAAGTCACCCAGAATTATTGTGTTATGATATATTTGACTCTTAAACTTGAGAAGAGTTTGTTTGATGAACGCAGATGCTCCATTTGGAGCATATATATTTATAATTGTTAAGTCTTGTTGATGTATGGTTCCTTAAGCAGTATGAAATGTCCTTATCCCTTTTGATTAACTTTGGCTTGAAGTCTATTATAAGTGATATGAGGATGGAAACCCCATATTTGTTTTCACAGTCCATGTGAGTGGACTTGTATTTGCTTTCTTATATCATTCTTTAATTCATAGAACATTTTAATTATGTAC